TGATTGCTTTGTCACATGTACAGGCTTTATGGCATACATGATGGTGAAAAAGCAGTCCATTCAACATCTTAGCAGAAGATAATGAGGTTTTAGGAGCATCCATTCAACCACGCGAATCATCGTACGCCAATGTTCGAGAGGAAGTTCAAATGCCATGCATACAATCCAAGCAACGAAAACGACAGTAGTACTGCGAATATTTACAGGACATGAGAATACAGATTAAAGACAGATAGACACGAGAATACAGATTCTAAGGAAGACATCAACGATAACGAGGACTAAGGACGGCACCAAGTAAGGAGCTAAGATGACGATGACACCGACCGAGGAACTAGTGGACTAGTAGTCGTGGTCGAAGAGCCTCCGGCCAACCTCGAACGACGCGAAGGCGTCGACATAGGCGCGCAAGCTGACGTATGACCCGTCCTGTTCTGTTGCAGCAGCTTGCCGCCACTAGTGATTTGAGAGATGAGAAAAAGGCTGCAGCAGTAGAGTCTTATTTTTTAGCCGATCACAGCATCCTTCTAACGGGGCACGCAACCTGTCGAGTCATGCGCCCCTGTCTCATCCAGTCATCCATCCACTCACGTTAGCTTTTGAATTAAAACCAGACAAAGTCGCAGGCGTCGCAGACGTCCATTATCGGCGCCAGAGTTCTTGGCGCCGAGGTCGGCGCCACAGATCTTGGCGCCGACCCGAGGTACCGGCCACGTCAACGCCACATAGAATCTCGGCCAGGCACCTTGAGCTAAGATCTATGGAGTCGAGACGTGTTACCTCAACGTTATGAGTCCTGAGTCCTGACGCCGACCCCCAGGGTCCAAAGATGAGTTTACTTCTTCCAGATGGCCAAACGTATTTTTTTAAAAAAAGAGCTAAATTGTAAAAAAAATGGGCTCCCGTGTTGGCTAGCGCCAGTGCGCGACAACGGCTAACATAATCAAGGTTTTCATTTTCGGAAAATAAAATTTATCGGTGGTCATAAATAAAAAGGATAAACAGGATATATCGGAAATATCGGACCAAATTCAAATAAAATTTGATTTGAATTTAAGTAAATTTAAACAAAATTTGTACGAAAAAGATAAATATTTTTTTATTAATATCTACGGATAAAAATAATATATCAAAAATATGAGAAGATTTCGGCCAATAAAGAAAACCCCGAACATAACAGGTGTCCCTCGGCTGGGCGGGCGAGGTGGCACCGTGGGCCGTGGCACGCCGCACGGCCGCATCGGATGTCCTGGACATGAGGTCACATCTCAGGAAAATGGAAGCAAGCACTCGTACGATCTGTCATGTGGGGCCCAGAAACACACACCACGCAGGAGCTCGTCGTCCGGCCCGCCCGCGCTGCCACCTTTGCGTGCTCGGGGATAAAGCGGAGGACCTCGTCGCGTCCACCCTCCCGGCGCCGTACGGCGGAGTGCCTCATCAACCCCGTCAACCGGCGCGAGTGAGCGCCGGTGCTGCTGCCCACCAAATAACACTCGCGCCACGCGGCGGTCTATCCATGTATGCGGACGTGAGGTCAGAACCAATTCGTTAAGCACGTTTTACAATATTTTACTCACACACGTCTACTTAACTACAATATTCAATCTGCAATTAACAATTCCAATTGCGTTTTGCCATTCATTCAACAGATACAGCTGTGGACTCTCTCGTGCGGGCTGCACGATCGAGTCACTTCCTAACCGCCACGTCCCCGAAGAGCGCCACCGATAATCCCGACGGCTTACGTAAATCGCGGGCCCAGGCAAAGATCCGTAGATACCCCCGACGCGCGAGGGCATTCCGGGCATTAGCCGCGCCACCTGCATATCTGGGCATCGGGCCGGCCCGGCCCGGCACGGCATGGTCACGGGCCGGCACGGCACGATGGCTATCGGGCCAAGGAGGCACGCCGCACGCAGTGCCTCATCATCGACCATGGGCCTAGCCTTCGTCCAGAGCGCGAGCCTATGGGCCATTTTTCGTGTCGTCTTTGGCTCGTGAGACACGAAAAAAAATAGCAGCCGTGCCGACCCACGACCGTTAAATCTAAAACACCTCCAAATAAACATCTTAATCCATTTTTTCAACCATGAACACATAAGTATGAATTTTGACCAACACAATTTTTTCACACTTAGCCATTTAGGACACTTAGGCAATAAGCAAAGAACAATGACAAGATGAAGACAACAGATTTAAATATCAAAAGAGTTTGTTTTTGTGCAATGTCGCCTCATTAAAAACCTACCTAGCTAAAACTCACCCTTTTGAGAAACTCTAGGCAGAAAAAAAGAGTGCAGTCAGCTCCAAATGTCTTAATCTTACATAGTTATTACAGACCATTGTTCAAATGTTAAAATGAAAACTAAGCAAGTGAGTGAGGCCCTCGGCCGCGGACGGCTGAACTCCAGCACCGTTCCTCAACGGTGCTGGTGACTCTGACTTGGCATGGTGCCCGTGCCGTCGTCCATCTACACCAAGGCTAGTTGATTGACGACGAGGCATCGGCAGACAGACTGCAAAAAGAAAAAAGAACACGAAAAGAAGAAAAGGATGAGAAAATGATCCCAAAAATAAAATCAAAACAACGAGAAACGTATAGATCTAGGGGCTAGGGTTAGGATTACGAATGGGGATGGACTTACTCACAACCGGAGCCCAGCCACGGGAGAAGACGAGGGCCACACAAGGGCAAGACAGGATTAAGAAGAATGGCGGCGTCGGCGGCGGAAGAAGAGAGACGGGAGGCGGACTCACATGTTCATCAACAAGCAGAGGAGAAGGAGTAAAAAGAAAGACGGAGAGGGACCGAGGGAGAGCGGGGAACTCGGGGAGAGGTGATGGATGGGCGGCGATATCACCGGATCAAGGACGACAGTCGACACCGCCGCGTGAAGATGGATCGACGAGAGCAAAGCGAGTGGCGACGAGCGAGAGCGACCGAAAGCGGGTGTCGAAGTCTGGTGGCGGTTGGGAGGAATGGGGTTAGGGTTAGGGTGGGGGGTGGGGTGGGGGCCGGGGAGGATCGCGGTTTATATATGGGGAGGAGGGGGAGTTCTTTGGGCGGCGGCCGTTTGCAGATATCTGAGCATCGGGGCCCGCCCAAGACAGATCACGGCCCGGCACGACACGATGGCTATCGGGCCAAGGAGGCCTTTTGTGTGCCCTGTGGGTCGTGCCTCATCGGCTCATGAGTGTCGGCCTTCGGGCCAAGCATGGGAACTGGGCCATTTTTCGTGCCGTCTTGGCCCGTGCTGGCACGGCAAAAAATAGCGAGCCGTGCCGACCCACGACCGTTAAATCTAAAACACCTCCAAATAAACATCTTAATCCATTTTTTCAACCATGAACACATAAGTATGAATTTTGACCAACACAATATTTTTACACTTAGCCATTTAGGACACTTAGGGCAATAAGCAATGACAATGACAAGATGAAGACAACAGATTTAAATATCAAAAAGAGTTGTTTTGTGCAATGTCGCCTAATTAAAAATCTACCTAGGTAAAACTCACCCTTGTGAGAAACCCTAGGCAGAAAAAAGAGTGCAGCCAGCTCCAAATGTCTTAATCTTACATAGTTATTACAAACCATTGTTCAAATGTTAAAATGAAAACTAAGCAAGTGAGTGAGGCCCTCGCCTGGCGGACGGTGAACTCCAAGACCGTTCCTCAGCGGTGCTTGTGACTCTACAACTTATTAGCGGTGCCATTGCTATTGTCGTAAAGTCTGCTCACGCCAATGCTAGTTGACGACGAGGCATCGGCAGCAAACCTGCAAAGAAAAAGAACACGAAAAGAAGAAAATGATGAGAAAATGATCCAAAAACAGAATCAAAACATTGAGAAACGTATAAATCTAGGGGCTAGGGTTAGGGTTAGGAATGGGGATGGACTTGCTCACAGAGCCGGAGCCGGCGGCCGGAGAAGACGAGGCCACACAAAGGCAAGACAGGATTAAGAAGGCGGCGGCGTCGTGGCGGCGGCGGAAGAGAGACGGGAGGTGGACTCACATGTTCATCGACAAATAGAGGAGAAGGAGTAAAAAGGAAGACGAAGAGGGACTGAGGGAGCAGGGAACTCAGGGAGAGGTGATGGAGCGACGGCGATATCACCGGATCCAAGGACGATGGTCGCCATGCCGCATGAAGATGGATCGACGAGAGGAGGCGAGTGGCGGCGAGCGAGAGCGACGAGCAACGAAAGCGGGTGTCGAGTCGCATGGCGGTTGGGAGGAATGGGGTTAGGGTTAGGGTGGGGTGGGGGGGGGGGGTCACGGTTTATATGGGGGGAGGGGGAGTTCTTGGGCGTGCGGTGGCCCTGCCTGCTTGTCGTTGGGCCGCCACGGACTGCCGCCGTTTCTATGAGCGTGCGTCTTGCGTCTGCAAGCACTGGGCCTAGGGGTGCGGCCCAAGCACGGCCGCAGACCCCGTCTGCGTGCCGGCCGGGCCCATTGACCTTCGGGCCGGCCGGGCTAGGCCGGGCCTAAATAGCGGGCTCGTGTCGGGCTCACGGCTCGGGCTTTGTGCCCAGATATACCTCACCTGCTTGGTTGCTATCGCCACTGGGCCTACCGTTATTTTTATGGGCCGTCTTGCGTCTGCGGCCTGTGGGCCTAGGGTGTGGCCCAAGCACGCCCTGCACCCCCGTGCCGTGCCAGCCCGGGCCCATTGACCTTCGGGCCGGGCCGGGCTAGGGCCGGGCCTAAATAGCGGACTTTGTGCCCAGATATAGCCACCTACCTGTTCAAGACTTCTAGCGATCTCCTCCGCCTCCCTACTCCTCCCCTTTCTCCTCGACTCGTCCAAGACAAAAAAACCGCCTGCCCTGCGTGTGGGCTGTCTGCTGTGTTGCTAGCCCAGTCCTCTCTCTCCTCGCTCACGCGGCACGCCGAGCAAGGGGACCGACAGCCGGAGCGCTTCTCAGCCCCTCCGCACCTTCGGATCTCGCGGTGGCGGCGCCGGCCGGCGCTGCTGATCGCCGGCGGCGGCCGAGATGTTGGAGGACCAGGTCGCCTTCCTGCTGCAGAAGTACCTCGGCAACTACGTCCGGGGGCTCAGCAAGGAGGCGCTGAAGATCAGCGTCTGGAGAGGTCAGTCAGGACGCCTCGCCGCCACTTCCCTTCTTATCTGCCCGTCGCTGCTGCTTTGATTAATCCGACTCCTGCTGTGATCACACTGGCGGTTTGGGGGTTAGTTTGACATATTTTATCTTAAAATTTGCTGCATCATGCGTGCTTATTAGTAGCAGTGTTAGTGCTCTACGTGGTGGTTGCATTGGATGGGGGCTAACGACAACAATTTGAGCTAGTTATGTCAGGGGCAGAAGTTAGATTGGTGAATTTGATGAATCTGCGACTCTCCAGTGTTGGTCCCTCTGTGATTGCAGAACTGTTTTAGCTGCTTGTTCCTAAGAGGTTCTAGTTTCAGTGCTCAGAGAATTGTGGAGCTGACTTGGTGACACATTGTTGTGGGCATTCAGGTGTGAGACTGCATGCTTGTATCTGAGCCTTTTTACCAAGATGTCATCAACCACGAAGCATGTCTTCAAGCAACCCAGCGTTTTGTAAAACTGGCTTGGAAACTGGGAGATGAAACTCCCCACTAAGACTGGCCTAAATTAGCAAATTTGTTGGATGGGCCATAAATGGCTTCCCAACCTTAATTGATAAAAACAAATACAGGAATGTTGGTAGCAGTATTTTCAATTGGTATTTTGGAGGAATTCACATAGCAAGTGATTGCAGGGGTGTATGTGAGTGCCTAGTTTTTGTCAGACATCTACATCAGTTGTTGGATGTTAGATCGCAAGTTCATTTGGAAATTAAGGTGGCATGTGGCTTTGACATTTGGTGAGAGCATAGCAGGAATCTGTTGAACTTGTAATGATAGTCTTGTCATGAGAAGTGTATGAGATGATGGTAGGCATCAGATGGCTTTTGTGTCAGTGGCCTCAGGGCATGAGTAAGGGAGCTCAGGTCATGTGCAGCACAATTCTGGGTATTTGATGAAACTAACGTTGGTTTCATGATGACATCGAAATGCAATGTGGTCCATGGCATTTAGTGAAGTTATTAGCTGGAGCTTGAAGATATCCACATTCATGTGTGCACATGCACGAGGGGATCAGGGGGGACACAATTTTCTTGCCCCAGCTATTGACCATTTTTTAATCATTGACATGTCTTCTATTACCTAATGATGTTCTGTTTTCTGAAAAATTGTTTCAGGTGATGTAGAGCTCACAAACATGCAACTGAAGCCAGAAGCGCTCAATTCATTGAAATTACCTGTTAGAGTCAAAGCTGGTTTTCTTGGTTCCGTGAAGCTCAAGGTTTGGAGTAGTACTTTCTTTGGTTTAGTACATATAGTCATATACTGAATTTGTTTTCTGTAATACGGAGGAATGGGTTCAAGGATGTTTGTGTCAATGATTGTTAGGTTCCATGGAGCAGGTTGGGACAAGAGCCAGTTTTGGTTTATCTTGATCGAATTTTTATACTAGCTGAACCAGCAACACAAGTTGAAGGTTGCAGCGAGGATGCTGTCCAGGAAGCAAAAAGAAGTCGAGTTAGGGTAATAAACTTCTGATGACAGCTAAGTGATTTTTGCAATTAATGTTGGATCCATGCACATACTGATTTTTTGGTTTACACAGGAAATGGAGATCAAATTGTTGGAGCGCCAACAGCAACTGAAATCTGAACTAGTATGTGCCAGTACTGTTTCTATGTGTAGTTGGGATAGTCAACCTTCCCTATATTTTTTACCTGCTGTCGTGTGGTTTAGATCTGACCATCTTAGATACTTTTTTCATTTCTCACTGCGATTTTCCTTTTTTGTGGAAGAATTCATCATGGCTTGGGTCTTTCGTTGGCACTGTAATTGGAAATATCAAGTTATCCATTGGCAATATTCATATCAGATACGAAGACGTAGAGAGGTAATTCAGTTCTGCTCAATGGTTTATCCTTCGGGCTGCACATTTTTAAGGAGTATATGAACACTGTGACCTGTTTCCTGTAGCAATCCTGGCCACCCTTTCGCAGCAGGTCTGGTACTTTCAAAGCTTTCAGCAGTTACAGTGGACGACTTTGGCAAGGAGACTTTTGCCACAGGTGGTGATTTGGATCGAGTGAAAAAGGTACATTGTTCCTGCATTTTGTTTCCACGGTTAGTTTGATATTACTCATGGCTGCTGTCAACTTCTGGGAGTCCAGTTCTGTTTTTTGTGATCCACGTAGAAAGGAAAGTGAGTACACAAGGAAATACCAATTTCTCCAAGAAATGGTGATTGTTTGTTCTTTTTTGTAGCCGAATATTAGGCTCCAAAGTAAAAACAACAACAACAATAGTTCACTTTTTTTTTCTAATTTTGGTGGTCGATTAATTTGATGTAAAGCTTTTTTGACCTAGTAGTGAATTCTGTTCGCTTCAGCAGTGAATACATTGAGCATTTGGCACATTTGGTGTGCTTATTTGTTTTAGTTTGACTTTTTTTTTTAACTTTTGACCAACTTGCATTACTTCATTAACTTACTTGGCATTTTGCAGTCTGTTGAACTTGAGAGTCTTGCGGTGTATTTTGACTCTGATAGCAGTCCCTGGATTGTGGATAAACCCTGGGAGGATTTACTTCCATCAGAGTGGAGTCAGGTACTCCTTGTGTTTGTGCGCAAATAAATACCTGAGCTTGAGAGTATAAATTTGCTTGGAGACAGTTGTCTTTGGCAATATCTACCAGAAAAAAACATGTGGTAGAATGTTGATAGACGTGGTGCTGTAGTGAGGTTCTGGTGGGGTCTGTTATTCTTCCGTTGCTTGCATCCAGCAACCTGACAAATCTTTATTGGTTCGTAAAATGCATTTCAGGTTTTTGAGTTTCAGGAGCAGGATGGTTCCAGATCTGCTTCAAAAAAGCATGCCTACATTTTACAACCTGTGTCTGGCAAAGCAAAATATACAAAGATACAACTTACTGAGGCAAAGAAAACAGGACAAGCATTGCAAAATGCTGCAGTTGATTTGGATGATGTTACTCTGTCGTTGTCAAAGGTTTGTACTCTTTTCTTCTCTCTCAGTTTTGTCAAAAGCACTGTGAAAAATAATACCTTTTCCCTCGAACCAGGATGGCTACAGGGACATGTTGAAGATGGCTGATAATTTGTCTACTTTTAATCAACGGCTGAGATATGCTCATCTCCGACCATCTTTACCAGTAAAATCGGATCCACGAGCTTGGTGGAAGTATGCATACAAGGTGATGACTCAGGAAATGAAGAAAGCAAGGTATGTATATCTGCACATTCTTCTCTGACTTCCAATTCATATATAGATTCCATGCATTATTTACTGGCATTAAAAGGTGCTCAGTTTTTTTTTTAATTTTCTGGTTTCATTATCCTCTAGCATAGTTTGGGTGACCTTTTTTTTTTAATGTCAGTTTGGGCTACTTATACATATAGATTGGATGAATGGTTGTTATGTTTGCTTTAGCATTTAGCCTATAATAAATCCAATGCACATCCCAATATTTGTTTTAATCATGCTGTGGGATATTTGCTTGTCTTCTTTCTTTATCTGGGTGGAGCCATTAATTTTCTTTGTAGTACTGTACCACATGTGACATGTCAGTAGTGTTTATGTAAGAAAAAAGAAAGCAGTTGAGCAGAGGACTCAACCATTCGCCTGGCAACTGATTCAAGGCTTTCTTGTGTATCTCTTCGTGTGTGTTCAAGTAGTATCACTAATATTTCGTTTGACAGTGTTTCCTTTAACTTTAATATCATCAAATATGTCCTCATTTCATGTGCCTTTATGTCAATACAATCTTTGTTGATTCTTTCATGGTGATGTATCTAACTTATGGATGCAGTGGGAGTCTTTCTTGGGAGCAATTATTGAGAAATGCAAGACTTCGGAAGGCATATGTATCTTTATATGCATCCCTCTTGAAATCTGACATGAGTCGACTGGTTGTTGATGACGATGAGGAGATTAAGAGGATGGACCGTGAACTTGATATGGAGGTTATTCTACAGTGGAGGTGATGTGCTTCTATTTTTGTCCTCAGTACATCAGTACATCTCCATGGGGATTATTCCTAAAAGAGTGTGATGTAGAGTTTGGGGAGGTTGCCAAAATTTTGCCTTCTGAGCGTACAGGGTGCCTTTAGGTTTGCAAAAGAAGTTCACCTTATTGCACTGTTTTTTCCCGCTTGCTCAGCTGCCCTTTCCCATGAAAGACAGTGAACGTGCACTACAGTGACATTGGTTCAGCCTTTGAAATTACTATGACTTCTCTGCACCCCCACCCCCACCTTCAGCCTTTGACATTCGCTCTGCACACACCCTTTCTTTCCTGACAAACAACGGTGATATGTACACATATTTCTCGTAAACTGCATGTTCACCTTGTATCCAATCTGCACTCTTGTCTCTTCTCACAACTATTTCCACTTTATGAAATATTATTTTGCATGCAACTGTGACAGAAGATCTCTGATTCTTGAATAGGTCATCCTTGTTTTTTTACTCAAATAGAAGAAGATCTGTGTATCATTGCATTAGGCCATCCTTGCTTTTGAGCTTTTATTTTTGGAGCTCTACATGTATAACATTGTATAGTTAGTCCCTTGAACAGTGCATGTCCTTGATTCTTCACTTCCCGAATGCACATGCACATTGAACAACTTGCTATGCGTCTTATCTTCATCCTTGATTCTTGTCACAATAATTGGCAAATGGACAAACATCCATGCAGCAGTTTGGATGAATTTTGTATGTAATTCGAGATTCATGTGCATACACCCTATCATTTATGCCGATGATGAGTGCAGTTACCTTTATTTGATACATACAATCTTCTTATTTTGTGTAGGATGCTAGCTCACAAGTTTGTAGAACAGTCGGTGGAAACATATCAGTATGCTCAACAAAATAAGCAGCAGTCCTGGTGGTCATTTGGATGGTTGATTTCTGGCCTATAAAACCCTATTGTTTCTATATTGTTAAATATGCAGCAATTAATCTGTCTTCATATAGGACTGGCTCTTCAAAGGATGAAGAAGATTCAAAGAGTTTTACTGCTGAAGATTGGGAAAGACTAAATCAGATTATTGGGTACAAAGAAACCAATGAGTATATCCCTGATCAACAGGATATGAAACTGATGCAATTTGATTTTGAAATACGTATGAAACATAATGCATCAAAGCTTACCATTGATGATTCGGAGTGCCTTGCTGATCTCTCGTGTCAAGATTTCTGCTGCAACTTGAAAATGTATCCGGAGGCAAAAATATTTGATCTGAAGCTGGGTTCCTACAGGCTTTTATCTCCATATGGCCTGCTTGCTGAGGTTTCTGTGTCTGTTCAATTTGCATTTTACACTTAGTAACTATGGTAGCCACTCACACGATTCCGTGTTCTGTATGTTCTAGAGTGCAAGTGTCATTGATTCTTTTGTCGGCATCTTCTCCTACAAACCTTTTGATGAGCAACTAGACTGGAGTTTCACAGCTAAAGCTTCTCCTTGTTATATAACTGTAAGCTGCTATCCTCATTATACCTTAGTGTGCATGCATTTGCTCTACTATTTCACTATTTGAGTTTTTGTTCGTATAGTATTTAAAGGATTCAATCGATCAAATTGTTGGCTTCTTCAAGAGTAGCCCTACCATTAGCCAGAACTTGGCACTAGAGACTGCTGCTGCTGTACAGGTATCTATGAGTAAAATCGATTTGAGGCAAGACTGTTTCATGTGATCAGATGATTGATTGATCATTCTGTGTTGCTTTGTGAAGATGACACTAGATGAAGTGAAACGGACTGCTCAACAGCAAATGACTCGGGTGCTAAAAGATCAGTCCAGGTTAGTGTATTTTTTTTTCTCCATTTTCATATTCTGAAAAAAAAATATTTTCATGTGGGTTTTCCACCATTCTCTATATGAAGACAGAATGGTACTGTAAAAAATTTTCCAAGAAGCCCTAGCTTTCAATGGTACAACCTGGACATTATTAGCTTCCTTTGACTAATATTTTTTATTTTGGTAAAAAAAACGAAATAAAAAAAAGCAACCACAGTTTAGTACTTAGTTACAGCCTATGCAGAATATTTAACTGGAAGGGGGGTAAATATTTTACTAGAATTTCAACCTCAAAAGGAATTTGAAAAATGGGATTGTGGTTTCCCCTGAAATAAGGATTATTGTCACTTTGTCTATACCATAAAATTTATGCTGATGTTGTTGGTTTGTATTTCAGTTACTTTAGATATCTACATCATTGCTTCTATGCTAAAGCTACACTAAAGAATTAGCTATATTTTCTTTTGTCAACCCCTTCTTCGACGTCGACTAATGCGTAACATAACCCCTATTAGGTTTTCACTGAACATGGATATTGCTGCTCCAAAAATTACTGTTCCTACCAAGTTCCGACCAGATGATGTACATGAGACTAAGCTTTTGCTTGACCTTGGAAATTTAGTTCTTCGGACAGAGGTTGTGTCTTCTATTTGCAAGTAACATTTTTATATCTTAAGTGTTTGGTTTGTATGCTACTAACGTCACTTTGTTTCTTCAGGAAATATGGGATGCCTATACTTCAGAAGAGCAGGATATGTATCTAAACTTCAATTTGGTGCTTAGTGATGTCTCTGCATTTCTGGTGGATGGTGATTACCATTGGAATGAAACATCTGATGAAACAAACTTGTTGCCGGTAATTGACAAGTGCGGGATTGCTTTGAAGCTTCAGCAGGTAAACAATACTCCACCCACCACACCTTTTTGGTTTTTTTTTTTTTTTTTGGGGGGGCTATTAAATGTTATCATCATGACGGTCACTGTTCCATCTTTGGACAGATCCAGTTAGAAAGTCCTCTCTATCCTTCCACAAGACTGGCGATACGGGTGCCTTCCCTAGGATTTCATTTCTCTCCTGCACGCTATCATCGTTTAATGGAAATTTTTAAAATTTTTCAAGATGGTGCTAGTGACAATAGCAGTTCAGATCATGAACACTTGTGGGATCATGCTGACTTTGAAGGGTCGTCATCTCTTCTCACATGGAAGGTTTACATTCTTTTATAATTTACTCACTAATGTTCAATCATTTTGGAATTACGTTCTTTCTCTAAATCATTTTCATGACCTACTGTTAGGGGGTTGGAAACCGGGAAGCTGCTTGGCAACACAGATATTTGCGTCTAGTGGGTCCATTTCTCTATGTATTTGAAAATTCAATTTCTACAACATACAAGCAATGGTTCAGGTTATGCACTTTCCTATAGTTCTGAATCCTATGTTACTGTCAAGTTTGGAGCTTATACTGTCATGTTCCGCGCCTAGAATAGACTGCTTGGCCATATGTGTACAAAGATCTGGCACCACTGTAGCTTTTGCCGGGATAGGGACAGTAGGTGTGGAGTGCTTGAGGTCCAAGGAAGGCCCAGCAGAGGAAGAGCTGAGGGTGTGGCACATTCATTCTGGATGGCCAGTCCACCATTTGAAACTTGAATCTCACTCCTGGGGTGCCTCGTTGGAGCTGCACCTCAGCGGAGTAATTTCATGTGATTATATGAATGGTTTATGTTTATTTTTTGCATTTTTATGTGCCGGGACACTTGTTTTAACACCTTTGTGTTGAGTTGCAGTTTACGTGGGAAACAAGTTCATCAGGTACCTACTGAGCTTACAAATGGCGTGCAGAACATCCTGGCGCTGCATGATTCTGGCCAAGTTAATCCCAAGGAACGGTCTAGTGGCACTTCATAACATTCTGTTCTACTTAAGATCCCCTGACATAATTGATTATCTCAATAAACTTTATTCTTTTACAGATTCTGGAAGACACTGGTGCTTTAATTTTGTTGTTTGATAATGACGAGGCACGAAAGATATGGCAGAGCCGTTTACAGGGTGCTATATACCGTGCATCGGTACTCCTTGTTTTGTTTTTCTTTTTGGTCAATTTTTCATTACATATCTATCTTCTGTTGGCATCCATAGAATTATTAGCCTGCTTTTAGGGTTCTGCTGCAATTTCAAGCTTTCCTGGAGTTGCTCTCCCATCAGAGGCCCACTCATTCAAAGGCAGCTTTCCCGATGTTGCTGACACAGAGAAATTATTTGTTGCTGGCATTCTTGATGAGTTAAAGATATGTTTTTCATGTGGCTATGAGGTATTTCTTTCTCGCCTAATTTTTTTCGTAACCTTGATTCAGTGTTTTTGATGCAACTCATGCTTCTGTAGAGTAACCACAAACTAAAAAAAGTTCTGCTAGCTAAGGAGAGCAGCCTGTTTGAATTTCGGGCAGTTGGTGGCCAGGTATCGAACTTTTCTTTTGTGTGGTCCTTGCTTTGTGACTCTTATTAATATATGTTTTTTTTTCTTTTGGAATAAACAGGTTGAACTCTCAATGAAAGGTGGCAATTTACTGATAGGAACTATTTTGGGGTCACTAGAAATTGAAGACCAGTTTTACTACCCAGGGAGTCCTGTGCCAAGGTTCTTGGCAAGGTCTTATATCAATAGCATGCAAACCCAAGAACTCCCATCTCCTAGTCGAAAGAACAGTTCAGGACCTAGAGGCACCCAATTGAAGAAAAATGACAGTGAGGAAAACTTTTTTGAGGCATCAGATGATTTTGATGAATTTGAAACACCTATGCATCGAGAGAGGACTATATCAGACTATTTTAGCACCCAGAACTTTTTGCCTACTAGTGTTCCTTCCCTACAGCCGCCAACATTTAATCGAATTCCTGATTTGATACCAGACACTGAACTTCAAACTGGGGGATTCACATTGGATGATAGTGGCACTTTCGATAGTTTTGTGAAAGCTCAGATAGTGATTTATGATCAACATTCCCCCCAGTACAACAGCTTGGACAACAGGGTAAATATCTCAAAAATCTCATCTCATTACATAATATTGTTATGGTTTCTGTATAGGTACAACTATTCCTCCTAGTGCCTTGGACATGCTTAGGTTTTCTGTATAGATGTAGTTATTCCTCCTAGCCCTTGATCATGTGTGATATTTCATATTTTCTTTGTTTACCAGGTAGTTGTAACTGTTGCCACTTTATCGTTCTTTTGCCATCGGCCAACTGTTATTGCAATCATGGAATTTATGAATGCCATCAACCTTGCAAACGGGTCTGATACTGATAAAGATAAAAATACATATCCTGCTACTGTAGAAGATGGTACAATTGAGGAATCTAAGTCTGACCTGGAACCAGCGCCAACCATAAAACGGTTACTGGCTAAAGGTAAAAGCAGAATAGTTTTTCATCTTACATCCAGCATGGCAGAGGCACAGATATTACTGATGAATGAGAATGGAGATCGACTTGCTACTTTATCACAAAATAACCTCTCCACTGATATAATGGTAATGTGATCATCTCTAGTTTGTGTGGTCTATTTTGGCTCGATTTGTTTAATGCCCACACGGGTCTGACTAACTGTCTTTGGCAATTACTCAAGGTGTACACATCGTCATTCAGCATAAAGGCTGCACTCGGAAATCTTAAAATAAGTGATGATAGCCTTCTTAGCAGCCACCCTTACTTTTGGGTTTGTGATATGCGAAATCCTGGAGGTCGTTCGTTTGTGGAGGTATTTCATGTTGTTTGATTTTACTTGCTTAATGTAGGTCATATTATGCTTTACATTGTCGGTTCTAGAAAAGAAACCTTTTATGAATAAAGAAGAATAATCAATTTCGAAATTGTTGTGCAGATTGACTTTACTTCATACAATGTTGGTGATGAAGACTATTGTGGTTATGACTATAGCCTTGTAGGGCAGCTTTCAGAAGTTAGAATTGTTTACCTGAACCGTTTTGTTCGAGAGGTATGGTGTTTCCAGCTTATTTAGTTTCTTAATCCTGCAAATGGTTTAATCTTTCTCTCTGGCTCCCTTCTTCTCTTGGTGTGTGCAGATTATCAGTTATTTTATGGGACTTGTCCCAAAAAGTTCTGACGCCGTTGTAAAGCTGAAAGATGATGAGACTAACTCAGAGAAGTTGGTTAGCAAAACCGATATGAAAGGATCACCTGCTCTCAAATTGGATGTTTCATTCAGCAGGCCTATAATTGTTATGCCCCGTGAAACTGATAGTAATGAGTAAGGATGCTTTTGTGTCTCTGAATATGATTTGTTCATTTACTTGTATCATGTCTTGAAGACGATCACTTTGCTTTGCAGCTTTTTGGAGCTTGATGTTCTATACATTACAGTCCAAAATGAATTCCAGTGGATAGGTGGTGATAAGAATGAGATGAGCGCTGTTCACTTAGACATTTTAACAGTTACAGTAAGTTCACTTTGTCAGCATGTTGTCTTTTTAATTGAGAAACCTGCTAGACATATTTATTTATTATAAGAATAAATGGGGATTAACTTGGATACTGGGAAATAGTCTCCATCATCATATCATTAGATGATCTTGTTCAAATGGTCTACATTTTGGCGCAGGAGCTGTCTCCATGTAAATTATTGCTTTATCTTGGGCCGCTCCATTGAATGCCCAAATTGTGCCAACATGTAATTTAGCTGCCATTTGGTAGCCTAGCAGTGGTATTGCTGTTGGTTACTGATTACTAGCTGAAGCTGATGACTTGGCTGTGCTTTGTGGAAACAAAGATTCCTTGCACATTAAAGGAGATTGGCCATTTAAATCTCACCAGATTAGTGCAGTTTGCTTTGAACAAATCTATGCCATTATGATCTTATTTGCTGAACACAAGATAGCAAATCTTCATTTTGCAAAATAGTGACAGGCTTTGGACTGCAACTTATAGTAGCCATGACTTATATGCTTGGGGCTTACAGGAAATCTAAGCCAAGTTTGTACCATGTTGAACTTGTATGATTTAGTAGGGAAACAATGCTTTTGCACATTTTATTCCTCATTACAGTATCTTTCCTTGTTACCTTGCTTAGAATCATTCTTACAGCATGATTACACTTCCCTTTGCAGGTACGGGACATAAATTTAGTTATTGGTATGAATATGGTACGTGGTGAAACCATAATTCAAGATGTGGAAGGTCTCTCCTTCGAACTTCGTAGATCATTGCGTGATCTGAGGCATCAGTTGCCAGCAGTGGAGGCAGCAATTAAGGTACCACATCTTTCTGTGAATGCATCTTTGATTGAAGGTCCCTGGTTAGATTATTTACTTTTCTTATAGCACCATTGAGATACTCATTTCTTTTATTTACAATATCTCATAGGTGGATGTTTTGAAAGCAGCACTATCCAATCGAGAATATGAAATTATATCTGAGTGTGCGTTGTCTAACTTCTCTGAGACACCGCATCCTGTGCCTACTCTGGATGATCCTCGATATGGCACTTCCACTACTCCATCCCATGTATCAGCATCTTCTTCAGAAAGTATTCATGACTTGTCCAAAGATGCAGAAACATGGATAACTAATAAATTTTCTGTCTCAATAAATCTGGTTGAGCTTTCTCTGCATTCAGGATCGACAAGAGATTCTCCTCTGGCGAGCGTTCAGGTACTCAATTTTTGTGCAGAAAAATGCTTTCGAACTCCATTGACTGCTCCGTTTATTTTTCAGAGCTTTTCCTTCCCCTTGCATGGGCTTTTTGCATAATCGTAATTATGATCATGTTGCGAGCTTGTCTGAACACAACTTTGTACGGTACCATATTGTAACAACCTAGAGTCCAAACTGCTTAGATCCACTCACACGCTGCGTGCATGACACACTCTCACCAACTTACTTACCTTTCGTGCTCGCTTCGCGGTGTTGGTCACATGGGGGCTGCTTGGTTCCGGCAGTGGCTTTGCCTCGCCTTGCTTCATCGGCATGAGCCACGAGGAGCTCGCCTGAGTGAGCAAGCCAATTTGGCTCTCTCATGGGAGCGAGGCAAATCTTGCGTGCATAGACCTGAGGTGCTCAGGCGAGGAAATTGAACATGCATCTTGGCTCGTCATCCTCGCTTGGCAATGCGTAACAGTGCCTAGCATAAGAACCAAGCAGTCCCATGGAGTCCAAGAAATGCATCCTCAACTAGCAAGGTTGGACTAATCTCATGCAACTTCACATGCAAATACACATGGGCCACCATGGGCCTCATTTGAATTGGGCCAGGACTTCACACGTACCACCTTTTTTTTTGTAGAATACGCAAATTGTGGTGGGCATAATGTTGTCCAGCTCACTGGTATCAGGAAGTGTATTTTTACACACAGACTACAGTTACCTTGTGATGGGTTTGGAAGAAAAACGTAAAATTTAAACTATAATCTTGTACACCAAAAAGGTTAGTAGCTTTTAGTTCATTTGTCCGAAGTCCACAAAATGAGGTGTGTTTCATTTTAGGACCCGTTTCTCACCACTAGACTGCAGAAAAACTTGAAAAATGGATCCCAGGCAGTCTTCCAAGAAGGGAATTAGGTGGACTCTTAGTCCAATGGATGAAAATTTGAATTACATTTAGTTTAGTTGGAATGATTCAAGCGGGTTTGCGGGCTTGAAGGAAGTATGGGTCAATTATCTGTAGCTGCTGCATCTCATCTACGTAATAGTGAATGCAATTTAAAGGGCAACCTAGAGGGATTGAAGTACTCAAGTACATTCTTCTTAACTTGGGACAGAATATAATATGATGTGAATTGGTACTGCTTGAGAATCAGGTAACATTTTTATGCTGTTTTCATGTTTGTTTAAGTATTCTTTGTGGTCCTATTTGCTGAGTGTAGATCAGATTCAAAGTACAGATTTTTTTCCTTTCGGGATTTCTTTCATATGAGGATATAGCTCTTTGTTGGAGATAGTTTCACATCACTGTATAATCTTCTGTATGCAGGCGAATAGTGCATGGCTTCTCTATAAATCAAACACACGGGAAGAGAATTTTCTGTATGCTACTCTCAAAGGATTTTCTGTTTTTGATGATCGTGAAGGAACAAAAGATGAGTTAAGGCTTGCCATTGGGAAATCAGCATCTGTTCGGGACACATCATCTGTTGATGGCTATGATAATCCTAACAAACTTGATTCAGGTGAACGGAGAATACAAAAAGATCTAGGCCTTGAGCCAATCCCCTCGATGCTTATTCTTGATGCCATCTTCCGAAAATCTTCGTCGTCTGTCTCTGTATGTGTTCAGCGGCCCAAGTTTCTCGTGGCACTTGACTTCTTACTAGCAGTAATCGAGTTCTTCGTGCCATCTGCCCGGAGTCTTTTATCCAATGATGAAGACAAGGACCTTCTACATATGATCACTCCAGTAGTATTGAATGATCAGATTTATTATCAGGAGCATTCAACATTTAGTCTTTCACCTCAGAAGCCCTTGATTGTTGATAATGAAAGATTTGATCACTTCATATATGATGGGAAGGGTGGAAAGTTATATTTGCTGGATAGAGAGGGGAAAATTATCTCAAGCCCTTGTACTGAGAGTTTCATTCATGTTCTGGGGTGTAAGAGGTTGCAATTTCGGAATGTCGCTATAGTGGTAATATTCAGTGTTTCAGTTTTCATTATTCTCACTTTTTACTAACCACACTTATATGGGTTTTTGGTCTTTTGACAATGGGATACCTTGCCGCAGAATGGTGAATATTTGGACTCTTGTATCTCTCTTGGTGATGATAGCTGTTATTCAGCATCAGAGAATGACCATGTCTACTTAGCAAGAGAAGATGATGGGCCCTTGTCGACTCCCAGCAAGGAAACTGCAGGAGACACTGTTAAAAATGGAAGTGCTGATATATCGACAGAATTCATTATGGAACTACAGGTATTGCTTTAAACTTCTAGCTATTGTTGAGACATTTAATTCATAACTGTGTTAAGCACATAGTTTTCATCTTCTACTGCATCATGATACAATATCTGTGTAAGCTACCAATGTGACTTATTCAAACAAGCTTATGAAAGCTAGTAACCCTGGAGATTCATGACAGTTCAGGAATCTCTCCAACTTTTCCTTTTCATTTTGAATATAATTGTTGAAATATCAGCCTATTTCACACCTTTCAGTATAAGCTTAAGATTTTGCATGAATTGGTAGCCTGGTGCCCTGTTGCAATATAGATAGAAAAGATTGCAGCCCACTCTATAGCACATCTTAGGTGTACGGGAGTCTGTTGCCCAAGTGCCTAAGTTTCCTCATAAACTTAAGCATTTGGTTCAATTGGGCTGGTGTAGACAGCTTAACAGTAGCATTCCTATGTCTGCAAGGTTTTCCAAAACTTCACCAGCTGGGTTCGTTGGTAACTAGTGCTAGTTTTATCCAGCAGGTTACAACTTACAAACTGTGAAGTCACTCCCATCATGTAACTTTTGAAACTGCTGCATGCATGATTGCCATTTCGTAATTCTATGGTTGAACTGCATTGTATCATTGTTTCAGGCTATTGGACCAGAGCTTACTTTCTATAGTACATCAAGGAATGCTGGTGAAAACTTAGCACTATCAACAAAGGTTATTCATGCCCGCACAGATGCATTTTGCAGGTTTGGTATTCTACTGGCCTTTGGCTGAATGTAGTTTTGTCGATTGATGCATTACTGATATTAGTACATGTAGCAGATATTGAAAGTGCATGATGCATCACTCTCTTTTTCTTCCCTTATTGTACGTTATGGGTTAATTAGATGTCCTTTTTTTTAAAAAAAAAAGAAAACTGTTATTATAAAGTTGCCATTAATTCTTTTCCTGGATGTCTGGAGCTGATGATAGAAAGCTACAAATGGGGAGCAAATTTATGCTTTTTTTTTTACATTTGTTTCTCTTTAGTTTACATTTATGACTGCACAGGTACATAATTAATATGCTAAACAAAGATGTTAAATTTGTCAAAGCTATTGCATGACTATGAAAATTACAGATGTGATACTACTTCTGTTAGTACGTATTGATATACTATCTACAAGATGGGATGAATTATGCTGTTCAAAGTCAGATTGCTTATTGCTGTCATGTCGCTTCATTTTCCTTTTATATTTACTTCATATTCCCATCTGATGTGGTAAATTAATTGGGCACTGGATACAAGAACAGCAGATAGATCGGCTAACTCGCCTCCCTCTGGAGGCTTTGAGCTGCTGCTTAGATCTATTTCTGCTTGCCTTCCCTAGCTACCTAGAATGTCTTTATAGACCAGGCAATCCAAGTAACTAATGAATCTTATCTGCTAACAAACCTGAACAAACTGTGAACTAATCCTAGGCTGCTGATGCAGCACGTCCAGGGCCAGAACCAACACTAAGATGATGTGGTAAGTTGATTGGGCACTGGATACAAGAACAGCAGATAGATCGGCTAACTCGCCCTCCCTCTGGAGGCTCTGAATTGCTTGTTAGTTCTATTTCTGCTTGCCTTCACTGGCTATCTATGGATGGTTTTATAGACCAGGCACCCAACAAACCTCCTAACAAATCTTATCCAAGTAACTAATGAGTCTTATCTGCTAACAAACCTGATGCAGCACGTCCAGGACCAGAACTGTCCAACTTGCCATTGTTAGGTTTCATGCACCAACCAAGTGAACCCAAAAGCTTAAGCTATTGGGAAGAGGTGAGCAATCCACTAATACTTCACAATGCTCCCACTCACGTGCAGCCAGAACAAGGCGCAAACGTGGAAATAAAGAAGGGTTAAAAGATGCCTGTACCAGGACTCGAACTCGAGACCTCTGGCTTTGATACTATGTTAGGTTTCATGCACCAACCAAGTGAACCCAAAAGCTTAAGCGATTGGGAAGAGGTGGGCAATCCTCTAATACTTCACAACAGCCATAACACCATCCAACAAGGAATTCACACAATCACCTGATCCAAGGAACTTATTGAAGCACACCATTTCTTTTAGAGGGAGAAAAAGTTTGCCAACATGTGCCTCGCACATTAAACAATTGTCTTTATGTTCTCTGTATGTTGGGGATTGATCCCTTTTTGTGTGGTGGCAGGCTTATAATGAAAGGTGACAGTATAGAGATGAATGGAAACATACTTGGTTTAAAGATGGAGAGTAATGGCATCAGAGTTATAGAACCATTTGACATGGCTGTGAAATATTCAAATGTGTCTGGAAAGACAAATTTGCATCTGCTAGTTTCTGAAATATATATGAATTTTTCCTTTAGTATTCTCAGACTGTTTTTAGCAGTTGAGGAAGAAATTTCAGCATTTCTCAGGATGTCGTCAAAGAAAATTTCACTGGTGTGCTACCAATTTGACAAAGTTGCAACTATGCAAGGTATGGGATGACTTGTACTCCCCCGGTCGGAAATATATGCCCATCTAGGTTTTCCTAAGTCAAATCTTTTTACATTTGACTATAAATATCTAAAATTTTATATGGATTGAAAACATTAAGATTGGTATGACTAGATTCATTGTGAAAAATACTTTCATAATATATAACTCTCTCTATATAAGCTAAATTGCTAATATCTTTTTATTGATATTGTTAGTCAAAGTGTGACCTTGTAGACCGTGTCGATGTCCTAATGAGCTTATAATTCTGATCGGAGGAAGTAGTTATGTTGGTGTATACTGAGAGTCCTATTTTGTAAGCTGCATTCATTGTTTTGTTGACTTGTTTTAGGTAATGCGAATGATCAAGTGTTATCTTTCTGGCGACCACGGGCTCCATCTGGATATGCCATTTTTGGCGATTATCTCACACCAATGTTTGTGACTACTACTTCATGCTCTCATTTCTTCTTATTTTGATATGTTGGTGGAATGATTTTATTAGCATTTAATCTCTCTTTTTTCATCTTAGGAATGACCCTCCTACTAAAGGAGTCCTTGCTCTGAACACAAACATTGTTAGGGTCAAAAGGCCTTTATCATACAAGCTAGTGTGGCAATCTGGTTCTCCAAGAACAAACGTTTTTCATCAGAATGAGGACTCGGAGAATAAGATCTCTAATGTTGACCAGCTCTGCTCTGTTTGGTTACCTGTGGCACCTGTGGGTTATGTTGCAATGGGTTGTGTTGTTTCATCTGGGACTGCTGAACCACCTTTGTCTTCAGTTTTCTGTTTAACTGCTTCCTTGGTTTCATCATGTAATCTAAGGGATTGCATTGCACTAAGGTCAAATATATATTACCTGTACTTGTTTCTGTATTTGTTGTATGGCTATAGATATTTCACACTCATGCATTATGTACTCTAACTGCATTCTTCAGGGATAATGCTAACATGATATTCTGGCGAATTGATAATGCTTTTGGTTCCTTTTTACCTGGAGATCCTGCAAGCATGAGTGTGCATGGCAATGCTTATGATCTTCGACATATGCTGTTCGACAGTGCAGACTCATCTTCTAAGACTGTCTCTAGAAGGCAAGATAGTAGAAATGATTCCTCTCAACTAGAGAGATCAGAATTGACCTCAGGTCGGCTATTTGACGCGGTGGCAAGCTTTAAACTAATTTGGTCCAATAGTGCGACCTCTTCACCAAAAAAGCTCTCAATATGGCGTCCAATGTTGTCCGAAGGAATGTTTTATTTTGGCGACATAGCTGTTAACGGGTATCATTTATGTGATTACTGTTTGTCATTTAAAGACCAAGCTTTGTTTGCGATTGACAACTTCATATTTAACTTTCAATTGTAGGTATGAACCACCAAATTCAACTGTTGTCCTTCGTGATACTGGTGAAGACACTTTTCTCAGAGCTCCTGAAGGTTTTGACCTTGTTGGTCAAATTAAGAAGCACCGAGGCACTGAGGGTGTATCATTTTGGTTTCCTAAAGCTCCTTCAGGTTTTGTGGCATTAGGATGTGTTGCATCTAAAAGTTCTCCAACCAAAGAGGACTTCAGTTTGTTAAGATGTATTAGAAGTGACATGGTGGCTGGAGGTCAATTTTCTGAGGAAAGTGTATGGGATTCATCTAATGCTAGAACATCTGAACCTTTTAGCTTATGGACTGTTGATAATGATGCTGGTACGTTTCTTGTGAGAAGTGGATATAGAAAACCTCCAAAGAGGCTTGCACTGAAGCTTGCTGGTCCACCTACATCAAGCAGCTCAGATAGCATCATTGTTGATGCCGAAATTAAAACATTTTCTGCCGTTTCCTTTGATGATTATGGTGGAATGGTGAGCCATATCCAGTACATGGATCTTTATCTAGCAACTATTATTAACTTTGAATATCCCAAATGATAGTTGGCTTGTGTCTTTATTTCAAGTGATGTAGCTCCTCTGATGCTTGCTGATATGTGTTGATTAATTTTTGAACTATTCTGTGCAGATGGTGCCATTATTCGGGATGTCCTTTGACAGTGTTGGACTAAGTTATCATGGTGGTCCTCATCATCTTAATGCAACTGTGAGCTTGTCATTTGTGGCCAGATCCTATAATGACAAGTATAGCTCGTGGGAGCCCTTCATTGAACCAACGGATGCATTTCTTAGGTAACTTTTCTAGGAACTCAATCTCTTCTCCAAAGAACAGTTGGGGTGGACTCTACTGAATAACTGTATCAATATATTATAGAGATAAATATGTACAATCTGTAGTATCTGTACCTCATCACAATCCAAATCCATCAGTAGAAGCAGGCAGCACTAGAACATGAAGCTTTTTAGTACTAGCAGAAAGCCATGAACCAACATTACAACATTTCACTTGCTGCGTACTACTGATGATTGTATCCTCTATGCCTGTTTTCCCCTTCTTCCTCAATCTCAAATGAAGGAACGAGTGCATGTAAGGGGATTTTCCTTTGCCTGGCGCCTCCTTGCTAGCATCTGAAACCACCAGCTGCTCCCTTCGTCATGCAAGACATGGCGTTTCCCAACAGATTTTTTCGTACATCAACTCACACGTTGCATGTTCCATTGTTGTTTTTCTTGAATGGAAACTTGCAATAATTCTGAAGAACTAGATATTTAGGCATGCGAGTGAGACAATCTGTATGCTATAACATGTTAGTCAACTGAGATCATCTACTAATTTTTTGTAGAGGACCTTGGGGTTGGTTGTGTTTTAGGGTGTCCCATACCACACCATTGCCGTACGCCGAGGCCCTGAGCGCCTGTTGCTAGCCATGTCCTGCTCAACCAAGGTCACCGGGTTGTGGCCCGGCGGTGACAAGGATAGCTACAGTACAGGGACAGGCCCTGTCGGGAACGAGCACGTGGGAGAAGGTGCTGGCGACCACCCATGTAGGGGGGAAGCCAGCCACGTCGTCGCCACCACTACCGTCACACTGCATGGAGGTGGAGGGAAGCACCACCACCAAGTCGTCTGTCATGAACCGCTCCAGGACGAATCCCACCATAGTGTGCAAGGCGCTCACACTGATTCGGTCGAATAACATACCGATCTGTCACCGGAGTAGGAAGTGAGGACGGGGATGAGTAGAAAAAAGGCGAGGGTGAGGGAGGAGGATCGCCCGGCCGCCGCCGTCCTTGCAGCCAGCCGGGCTTCCCGGTGGTGTACTCAAATGGTGGCAAGGCGTAGGCTGCGCCGGGTAGGTAAGTGGCGAGGTGGCTGTGTCTAGCCCTCGAATCACAGATGTCTTCAGATTGAGCATAAAGAGACCGAGTCCTGTAGTAGCTATAACTACTGTAGACAAAAATCAGTAATTTGGCTCCCCCTTTAGTTTGTGTCATGCTCCACCAACAAAGGTCTACAAGGCCAACGATACAAGGATAAATATGACCTGAGAGGAAAAAGAAGCCTATGACTGTGCACACAAAAAAGGACAATGTTCATAAACTGAAAATCTCATGAGAAACAAACCATTCTTGTCGATGTCCTTCCCAATATACAATATCCATGGTTTTACAGTTCTTGTCTTGGCTTCAAACCATAGGTATTGTACGTGTATACTTTCATTATCTGCTGTTAAAAAGCATTGTTAATAATTAATTGAGCTTGATAATTCACAAGGCTTCACTTCATTCACTTGCCTATTAACCATATGCAGCACCATATTAGTTACAGAATAACAGCTTTTTGTAAATTTTTATTACATGATTTGGTACTCATTTTGTTATGGATATTAGGTACCAATATGACATGAATACACCAGGTTCTCCTGGACAACTCCGTATTACCTCAACTCGAGATCTGAATTTGAACATATCTGTTTCCAATACAAACATGTTATCACAAGCTTATGCTAGCTGGAACAATATTAGCTGTGGTGATGAATTGTACAGGAAGGTATATCATTTCTCCTTTAAGATTATTGTTTAATAATTTTGTTATCTGACAATCTGTTTATTCCTTATAAAAATATGGAAAGTTACCACTTATTTACTTTGAAGTATTCAGTTGATGCTTATGCCATCATTTGTCTTCTCTTTTGTTCTATTATCAGGACACCTTTTGTTCTACTGAGCGACCAGTTCTTGATGTTCATCAAAGAAGAAGTTATTATGTTGTCCCACAAAATAAACTTGGACAAGATATTTACATAAGAACTACTGAGAATAGAAGTTCACTTGTTACTCTGTTGCCCTCTGGGGATGATAGGTCCATAAAAGTTCCGGCGTTAAGGGATCTATTGGATTCTCATTTAAATGGAAGATCTGTTAAATCATATCGGTTGATGATAACCGCCATTCTTGCGGATGCAGAGGTAGCTCTTTTATTTTGCACTAAACTGTGTACTCTTTTACCTGCATGTGCTTTCCCAGTGATGAATGGTGGTCAACTCTTTGATCACAGCTTGACTTTTTCATTTGTGTTAACACATCCTCAATTAACCTTTCATTTAAAACCAGCACCAGAAAATGCTAAGTGGTGGTGACAGATAACCGGCTGATTATTGACTGCAACCTGACCTAAAAACTCCAAAATTACCTCAATAGGAAGTCAGCAGCTTGGCTATTGGCGACCTATTGTTACAGTGTCCTATCCTATCTTTCCGGAACACAAATGGGAATTAGAATATTTACACTCTACCATAATAGGGAGGGATTAGCATCTGAACGCAATATTGAAATGTTCATGCCCATGTTTTACATCGAATTAGAATATCTTGTCTCTTCACTTGGGATTTCTGGTTCAATCTCCTGAGAAGAGTTGGATTGCAGCACCTTAGTCCTCAGCCTGGGGAAACATCATTTGAAGATTGGTGGGAAAAAATCTCTGCTGGAAGTTTAGGTCGTGATTGTTTTTGAAATGATTGTGTTTTCAGTGGGGCCACCCCCAGACTGGACACAGCGCTGCTCCTTGCAAAGGAGGAAGCCGAGTTATGGTGTTTGGCAGGAGCGAAGGGATTCTCCCTGCTCACTGCCAGGGTGGTCTCTTAGGGGCTGTTTGTTTTGGTCCCGTCGTTTCTTTAAAGTTTCAGGTGATCAGTTTCTCAAGTTTGTTAGGAGGTTACGTGTGTGTCACAACAACAACAACAACAATAAAGCCTTTAAGTCCCAAACAAGTTGGGGTAGGCTAGAGTTGAAACCTAGCAGAAGCAATCAAGATTCAGGCACGTGAATAGCTGTTTTCCAAGCACTCCTATCTAAGGCTAAGTCTTTGGGTATATTCCATCATTTCAAGTCTCATTTTATTGCCTCTACCTAAGTCAACTTCGGTCTTCCTCTGCCTCTCTTCACGTTACTGTCCTGGCTTAGGATTCCACTACGCACCGGTGCCTCTGGAGGTCTCCGTTGGACATATCCAAACCATCTCAACCGGTGTTGGACAAGCTTTTCTTCAATTGGTGCTACCCCTAGTTTATCACGTATATCATCGTTCCGAACTCGATCCCTTCTTGTATGACCGTAAATCCAACACAACATACGCATTTCCGCGACACTTATCTGTTGAACATGTCGTCTTTTCGTAGGCCAACATTCTGCACCATACAACATAGCAGGTCTAATCGCCGTCCTATAAAACTTGCCTTTTAGCTTCTGTGGTACCCTTTTGTCATATAGGACACCAGATGCTTGGCGTCACTTCATCCACCCTGCTTTGATTCTATGGCTAACATCTTCATCAATATCCCCGTCTCTCTGTAGCATTGATCCTAAATATCGAAAGGTATCCTTCCTTTCAATGAAATGATACGCAACTCTCCTGCATGTTCAAGAAAAAAAAAGGCACACATGTCCTTTATTATCTGAATGGTGTGGGTGTTTGTGGCTTTTGTAAGGGTTCCTATCCATTTTCTTTCTCTTAATATAATGATACCCGACTCCCCCAAAAGGGCGTACCCAGTGCAGAGAGCTCCCACTCTGTGCGGGGTCTGGGGAAGGGTGTTAGTGGCAAGCCTTACCCTCACCTGTGCAATGCGAGGAGACCGCGACTCGAACCCGGGACCTTCCGGTCACAGGCGGTAAGACTCTACCGCTTGCACCAGGCCCGCCCTTCTCCCAAGTGTTCGAGAAAATGTTTTACATCGAATTCTGAACCTTGTATTGTGGTTAGCTTGCCTGCTAAATAAATTGTTGTGAACGACTTTTCTGGTCATTCTAAACTTAGGTCTTCCATCCCAGGTCAAGGATGATGAAGGATTAGATACTGGTGAATATATGACTGCTGTGCGGCTCTTTTCAGAAAACCATTCCATATCTGTTATTCAGCAACAGAGTGCCCGTACTTGTGCTGCTACTGGAGAATACTCGTCACAGAACACCAGAAAGGTGAACTGGAATGAAATGTTCTTTTTCAAAGTCGAACGTGTGGTAAGTAAACACAACACATTCTGGAACACTTTTACTCCTCTTGGTCTAGATATTCCATGGCAATTGTTCTCTACTGTTATTAGTGGTGACTTTTCCGAGAGCCATGTTTTCATTTAACTAATATTTCATTTTCACCGCAAATGTTTCAGGACAGTTATACTCTGGAGCTTCTTGTGCTTGATGCTGGTAAAGGTTCGTGATTTCAGTGCAAAACAAATGCCATTATTTTGTTTGTTTTCCGACACTCGTTTATAGTTTATATGTTGAGAACAGGTCAACCAGTTGGTATATACTCTGCTCCATTGGAGCAAGTTGTGCAAAAGCTCCCTCCTACCTCTAATTCGGACTGTGTCAAATTTGATTTGACTTTAGGAGACCTTATGTCAACTAAGACAGTGGTGAGAACTCTTGACATTTGGAGAACCATATATTGAGTCACTTTTGCAGAATAGAGTCCACACAGTGTGCTTGTGCGAAATTTATACTTAGCAATATTTTATAACGTTTATTGACAATTGTTTGCAGGAACACGACACTGTTAAACCTAGTGGAAAAATAAGATTTGCGGTACTTGTTTCTGGTAGAGCTAGTGTACAACAAGGGAACAGAGCCAGTCCTGAAAGAAGCAAGACTGGATATATTCAAATTAGTCCTTCAAAAGAAGGGCCTTGGACAAGCATGAAGTTAAACTATGCTGTACCTGCAACATGTTGGAGGTTTGGCAATTGTGTGATTGCTAGTGAAGCAACAGTCAAGGAAGGCAACAGATATGTTAGCATACGTTCCCTTGTGTCAGTTACTAATACAACCAATTTCATTGTTGATTTGCGTCTAAAAGGAAGAATTTCTCAAAATGCACGATCAGATGAACAGGGAGACGGTTTTGATAAAGAGGATCAAATCCTGATTGGAATGCTGGAGCCCAATTCTACTGTTCCGGTTCCACTATCAGGCCTCTCACACCCTCTTGTGTCCTATATGTTGCAGCTAAGGCCAGCAAATCATCATGATCATGAAAATTACTCTTGGAGTGATGTCCAGGAGAGGCGCAGTCAAACTGAGTTTAGAAAGGAGGAGATCCTAGATATATGTGTATCAGATCTGTATGAATCGGAAAACTTGCTATTCTGCTCACAGGTAGATGGCACCTCCAATTCTTGTCATGGACTATGGTTTTGCTTGAGTATAGAAGCCAAGGAAATAGGCAAAGATGTTCAGATGGATCCAATATATGATTGGTGCATCATTATCAAGTCCCCGTTGTGTTTGACATACTATCTTCCCATTTCTGCACATTATACTGTCAGTTCTAGCCACCTCGACGATGAAGATTCAAGTTGCTCCCTTGGTACCTTAAGTCCTGGTGAGGCTGTAAAGGTCCACAATGTTGATCCAAGAAACCCTTTGTACTTATCCCTTGTTCCACATGGAGGATGGGAACTAATGCATGTACGGATAAAATTACTTTCTTTTATAGATGTCTTGCTTTTCTATTTTTTTTCTACATACTATTGAAGTTCTTTTCTGGTTCTAGGAGCCTGTGCTTATATCACATCCAACCCAAGCACCTTCCAGATTTATCAATCTAAGAAGCTCTTTATCCAGAAGGTAACAATGCAAACATGAAAAAATTTCTGGTGGATAAAATGCCATAACCTTTCACTAATCAAGCTTCTTTTATCCTGTTTGTCTTTCATTCTTCTGTAGGGTTGTACAGATTCTGCTTGAACAAAGCAGTGATAATGACTATTTGATGCCAAGGCTTATCAGAATATATGTTCCCTATTGGATATCTTTTGCTAGATTGCCTCCACTTACTCTGCGTCTCATTGATATTTCTGGAAGGAAAGAGAAGAGGCGGCTTCTTGCACGTTCACATATGGAAAGGGGTGAGAAGCACCTCTATGATATAAAACATGATGAATTGGTTGAGGGATACACTATAGCATCTGGATTAAATTTTAAGGGATTAGGACTTCTATCGTCTGTCGGTGGACATGGAGGACGGTTTGGATCTGTGAAAGAATTGTCGCCTCTTGGTGATATGGTTAGTTTGGATCTGCTGCTTTTATTCTTTTTCTTGTTTTGAACCACTACAATTAAATAGTTTTGTTTCTATACTCAGGATGGAGCAGTTGATCTTTCTGCCTATGATGATGATGGAAAATGCATGCATATTCTTCTTTGTTCAAAGCCATCCTCGTATCAAGCTGTTCCAACAAAGGTAGCTGCATGTTAATCTACAATTTCATATAAAAGTTTCAATCAGTTGACTTCATGTGATGACACAACAGGTTATCCATGTACGCCCGTATATAACATTCACAAACAGGACCGGACAAGATTTGTACTTAAAACTTAGTGTTGAAGATGAGCCAAAGGTCCTACATGCATATGACTGGAGGGTTTCCTTTATGTACTCCGAGGGGACTACTGACAAACTGCAGGTACTAGTTAAATGCATGAATTGTTGATGGAGCCGTTATGAAAAGTAAATGACCATGTTAGTATTTGCTTTTTATGAGGATCTTTTACTATCCATTTGGTTTCACTTTCTTGTGCATGCTCTCTAAGTGCTCAATCCTGTAGGGTAGATGTGTATCATTGCATTAAGAAGAAGAAAGGATAGTACAAAACACAAACAACAACAACACACCCACACCCACACCCACACCCACATCCACAAATATAGCTTGGTTATATTCGCGCCCATTACAGTAAACACATGACCAGACCTGAACAAAGTCAAGCCATCTACCTGGCGACCACTTCTAAATGTGCTAATCCCTTAGCGCCAGCAAAGCACCAAAGATGAGCCTCCTCAAGAAAAGTTCTAATCACAAGCTGAGTGTTAGGGTTGGCTCCATTGAAAACACAGTTGTTACAATGTTTCCACAACATCCAGGCCCCCAAAGTAATCAGCAAATTCAAACCTTGCTTCACTTGCTCAGGGAACAAAGCGATAACTCTCATCCACCAATCAAAGAATCCCTTGTCATCAGGGGATGGAGAGACGTCTAGTAATCTGTAGCGGCAAAAGAGTAGTGACCAAACTGTTCTAGAGAACACACAACTAGCCAATATATGATCAATGGTCTCATCCTCCTGTTCACACAAGGGACATTTCACTGGATGAGGTAGTCCTTAGGGCCAATCTGTCTGCCGTCCAACATCTGTTACGAGCAACCAACCAAAGGAAAAAAAGCATTTCTTTGGTGCCTAGGTCTTCTAACTTACGGAGTAACTCCCAAGGTTCAAATGCAACTGATCCAATAAACAGTGATCTGTACGCAGATTTAGATGAGTACTGACCAGATTCAGTAAAGTGCCACCTACGAATATCTGACATATCAGGTTGTAGCTCCACCTCGGTCCCATAATTCCAAATATTCAACAAGCACAGAACTGTCAAAGCACCCTGAATGTCTTGAATCCAAAGATTCTGATCCAGAGCTTCATGCACTGTACGTCTCTTTACTCGCCTCTTGTTGACTAAGGCAGAAAGGTAAGGAGCAAGATTAGCAATTGACCTTCTGGAGCCAGCTATCTTGCCCAAAACAAAGTAGATTTTCCATTGCCCACAAGCGAAATATTTTTTTTCTCGAACACGCAGGAGAGCTGCGTATCATTATATTAAGAAAAAAGAGGAAGAGCCCTTACAAACACAAACACACACACACACACACACACACACACCCCAACACCAAAGAACATGCTACTAACAATCCGACTCGCCTGTGACAAAGGATAAAACGACCCAACCAAAGCAAAATAATTGTCACAGAGAAGAAAGCTTTCACAGAGGAGTGAAGTTGTATCTGGAATTCAGCCCAAGGTTTATGAGGCAGTGGTTTGGCCATCCAGAGCCACCTTAGTCTCAAATCCCACCCAACATGTCTGAGATCATGTAGCCCAAGCTCTCCAGGCCGGGCATACAAACTTTTGGCCAAGTGATTAAGCAATGTCCATTGTTGGCCACTCTTCTTCCCCTCCAAAGAAAATTCCTTCTGATTTTATCAATCTTTTTCATGGCCCATGGAGGGAGGTCCATGGAAAACAAAGATAGATCACCATTGAAGTCAACACATGTTTAACCAGAACCAACCTGCCCTCTTTATTCATCAGACTCGCCGGGGAGCGGGGGTTGTAGCATCCCCTCACTGCCCATTGTGTGATCAAGAAAGTGAAACAATTAATCACCTTTTGGTAGCATGTGTTTTCTCTGGGCAGTTTTGGTTTGGGTTGCTATAAAGGGTGGGGCTCCATAACCTCTCTCCTCAACCAGGAATCTTCCTTCAATGACTGGTGGTGTAAAATTAATGAGCAGGTGGACGGACAAATTCGACAAGGTCTAAACTCTATTTTAATTCTCAGAGCTTGGACCATTTGGAATCGTAGTAATCGCTGTGTTTTTTATAGAGCCTCACCAAATCTGGATAGCATCACACTGTTGGTACAGTCACTGCAATGCAGGTACAGTCACCGCGGTCCGCTGCTAGCAGCCACCAGACAGCATGCGACAACTCCGTGGCTATCTGCTCGGTTGTTGATTGCCAATGCTTACCACCGCTCGCGGGCGGCCAAAATGCCGCCTCCATCTCCGAGCTGCCGAAGTGCAGCCCTCATGTAGTCATGTGAAGCCAAATCTCCGTGCTTCCACGCCCAGCTGCAGTCGACCCCGGCAGCACCTCACTGCCACTGCTCCTCATGGCGGGACTCTTGCAGGCCTCAAGCTCATGCCGTTGCTCAGTCTCTTGCACGGCCACCACGCCACCGGCATGTGACGACCACGCCAACGCGCTAACACGCAGTAGCACGGCCACCACACCCGCTGTACGCCACCACGCACGGCCACATCACATCATCACCTCCCAGATTGGGCCTATGCTCGCATCTCCGGCCACCAAAGGCAGTCACCGCCCAGATCTGGACTGGCGAGTCACCGGTCATCACGCGGCCCGCCCCCAGCAGCCACTGTGGAGACCGGTTCGCGTTCCTCCAGGCAGATCTCGGAGTTCTGCACGGAGCTGAGCAGATGCAAATCCAGACCTGGGAATGCCAGATCTGGTGCCATTGCTCCTGCAGAGGCTCGCCGCCGCCATTGTCCCCGACGCCACAGCAACCTTGGGCCAGGACGGGAGAGGGAGAAGTGAACCCCCCCCACCGCCCGCTCCATCCTCGCTGTGCTGCAGCGTCTCAACGCCCCGCACGCGCCTAACCGGCTGATTCGCCCTGCCGTCACCTTCCTCATGGGCACCGGCCTTCCGGTGAGCCACTCTGGCGACGGCGAGGAGGCTGTGGAGGAGGGAGGCCGCCTAGCAGCAGCGGTGCGAGAGCCCCCAAGCCGCCTTGCGGGGGTGACGTGGGGGAGAATTGCCCTGTTGAGAATACAATTGTCCTTTTTCTAAGGGCATTGCTTACCTAGCTGCCTTGTGTCATGGGAGGACTTAAAGGTGTTTTTTGTCCTCCTGGCCATGGTAGTGTTATGTGGTGTGTCGTGGGCATAGCTATCTGAGAGTGTTAAGGTGTTGGTGTGTGTTTTGTAAGGGTTTTTCTTCTTAATGTAATGATACGCAGCTCTCCTGCGTGTTTGAGAAAAAAGTGAGCCTTCCAACCAGGAAGTTGATCCGCGATGCGATCAATGATTGGATGGAATTGGGCTCTGGAATCTGGTAAGCTTTGTGTTGGCCATTTGGTTCAATGATAACCCAAGCTAAGCAGCAATTCTCGAGCACTTTCTTCATGGAAATCTTCATCATTGGAGCCTGGCAGATATGGAAACGGAAACTGTTATGGTCGGGGTCACATATGAGAGGAGGAACAAGCATCGTGGGTGAGCCAAACAGGTCCGGCTCCGGTCGTTACATGCCAACATTGCCAACTGGTCAGGTGGAGCCCCAGAAGAAGATTTGGTTTGTTAGCATTGTTAGGAGTCTTAGAGGGTTTGAGTTTGTTAGCAACTAGAGTCCTTATTTCCAGCGTCAAGTTGTTAGAGTCGATTGTATAAGAGTCCAACTCTTGGTTAATGGAAAGGTAGCCTGGGATTGAGACTTATAGTCTCCCTTGGGTGCCTGGCGCTCCCGTTTCCCTGTTCCCCGTTTTCCCTGTTGCCGCACGCGAACTCTAGAACACGGCGCCGTCTCGACGTTCACGAGCGCGCCCCCACGCTCCAACCTCCCCTCCCTACTTCCTCCGAAGCAAAGCACGACGTCGTAACAACCTGGTATCAGAGATCATGGCCACTTCCGGGACCTCGTCGGCGACCGTGCCTCCCACCTCCGGTGCCTCCATGCCGCCGGCCATCTCCTCCGCCGCGCCCACCACTTCCGCCGCCGTTGAGCCGTCTCTTCCGCTCGCCACCATGCCACCACCGCCCCCACCAATGACGGCCATCCCTACGGACGCGCTCAACGCCTTGACCAAAGCCATCCAAGGGCTCCAGAACCAGATGGCGGTGATGAACTTCCACATCGGGGACTTGGCGACGCGCATGTCTGCGATGGACGGCCGCGCCCTGCCGGTTCTGCCTGGGTTGGATGCCACCCTAGCTCTTCCAGCGGCGTCGATGCCGCTGATCTCCGAGCCGGCCCCCGCGGCGCCCACGTCGTCCTCGGTGCCCACTGTGGCACCATCGGCTCCACTGGCTTCGGCGCCTGCATCGACTATGCTGCCCGCCACGGCGACTCATCCGTTCGGTGTTCCGATCGGCCAGATATGCTTTCCTCACTCGCCATCCCCCGTGCCGTCCCTGGAGTCCATCTTGCGGGGGTCGGTGCCGGTGTCCTCCGCGCCCATGGCATCCCCTACGTCCCGCGTGCATGTGCCACCGGAGCTGGAGGGACAAGTGGTGCCCAAGTATCACAAGTTGGTGTTTCCAACGTTTGACGGGAAGGTAGATCCCCTCGGTTGGTTGAACAAGTGCGAACAATTCTTCAATGGCCACCAGACGCGCCATGCTGACCGAGTCTGGCTCGCGTCGTACCACCTCACCGGAGTTGCTCAGCAGTGGTACTTGGTCCTCGGCCGACATACATAGGCCGCCGCAATGGGAGGAGTTCCGACTGCGTGTGCCGCGGCGCTTCGGTCCTCCCTCAAAGACGAACCATCTGCCGGACTGGCGCGCGCTTGCCCTTCACTTCGACGGTGGATGCCTATATGGAAGCGTTCCAGGCCCGAGCGGCGCACGCCGGGCGTCTCTCTCCGGGTCAAAAGGCGAAGCTCTTCACGGGTGGGCTGCCGAGTCACATCCGCGTCGATGTGGAGCTTCACGACCATAGGATCTGCAGTAGCGCCGTGCATCTGGCGCAGCGTGATACGAAAATCTTGAACGTCGTCCGGGCTCGCTTGCCTTGCTTGCCCAAAGAGTGGCGGCGTCGCCAACGGGCGCCGCCCATCCCATTCGCCGTCAAGGGGCAACCTCAGCAGCGGCCTCTTCTTCCACGACGACACCATAGAGGGCATTCAAGCGGCTCTCACCGGACGAGATGGCGGAGCGCAGGAAGCAGGGCCTCTGCTATAATTGTGACGAACCGTACGTCCGGGGCCATAAGTGTGCCCGGCTGTTCTTTCTCGAGGCCGCCGATTACATCGTCGAGGAGCCGGACGACGCCGACGACGCACCAGCTACGCCGTCGGCTGACAACTCGTTCGATCCGGACAAGCCCCTGATATCTCTCTCGGCGATCACCGGTATCCGGACGGCGGACACCATGCAGCTTCGCGTTCGAGTGGGCGCACATGAGCTTACCGCGCTCCTGGATTCGGGCTCTACACACAACTTCATCAGTGGCGCCGCCGCACGACGCGCTGAACTTCAGTTCCACGACAGCGGAGGTGCCCATGTCGTCGTGGCCAACGGTGACCGTGTCATGTGTCGCGGCTTGGCTCGTGACGTCGACCTCCGGATCGGCGGTGAAACTTTCAAGGTTGACTGCTACTCCATTCCGCTGGACTCCTACGACATGGTACTCGGCATCACATGGCTCCGCACGCTCGGCCCGATACTCTGGGACTTCGACAACCTGTGCATGGCGTTCACATACTAGGGGCGTCGCGTGCTGTGGCGGGGTGTCGGCTCGCCGGCCGTGGCCCTTCCTCCGACAGGTTGCCTCCTCGCCGCCCGGGGGCTCTTGGCCAAGGGGACCGAGCCTGCACTGCTCGAGTGCCTACTGGACTCATATGCTGATGTCTTTGTGGCGCCGACGGGCCTGCCTCCGGCTCGTGCGTGTGACCACAGGATCCACCTCAAGCCGTCCACAGAGCCCGTGGCAGTACGTCCCTATCGCTATCCTCAGCTCCAGAAGGATGAGCTGGAAAGACAATGTGAGGAGATGTTGCAGCAAGGCACGATCCGCAACAACACTTCTCCGTTCTCGGCACCGGTGTTGCTCGTCAAGAAACAAGATGGCTCGTGGCGATTTTGCGTGGACTATCGTGCCCTCAATGCAGCCACCGTGAAGGACAAATTTCCTATACCAGTTGTTGAGGAATTACTCGATGAGCTCCATGGCGCCAAGTTCTTTACGAAGCTCGATCTCCGTTCGGGATATCATCAAGTGCGAGTTCACCCTGACGATGTGGCTAAGACAGCGTTCCGCACTCACCACGGCCACTTTGAATTTTTGGTCATGCCGTTTGGGCTCTCCAACGCGCCGTCCACGTTCCAGGCGCCTCCGACGCTGCGTGCTTGTGTTCTTCGACGACATCCTCGTCTACAGCGCCACGTGGACGGAGCACCTCTTGTGACTGCGCGCGGTCCTGGATGTCCTGCGCGCCCACAAGCTGCACCTCAAAAAGTCCAAGTGTTCCTTCGCTGCTACATCAGTTCAGTACCTGGGACATGTGATCTCGCATGAAGGTGTCTCCATGGACGTATCCAAAGTCGCAGCGGTGCAATCGTGGCCGCAGCCGCGATCGGCACGTGGTCTCCGCGGATTCCTCGGCTTGGCGGGGTATTATAGGCGGTTCATCAAGGATTATGGCACCCTCGCGGCGCCATTGACAAACCTCTTGCGGAAGAACGCGTTCTCAGGATGTAGGTCGCCGACGCAAAGCATTCACACGCCACGAAGTCGGATCGTCGCGCCCCCGATTCTGCATCTTCCGATTTCGACCGGGAATTTGTCGTCGATCTGACGCGTCGGGCTCGGGTTTGGAAATTTGTTCTTGCATCAAGGGGCGAGCCCCATCGCGTTCTTCACCGGCCGTTTTATGCGCGCGGCAGACTGAAGGTGGCGGCATATGAACGGAGTCGATCGGGTCGGCGCAGCCGTTCGCCATCGCGCCCGTACCTTTTGAGGCGGGGGCCTTTGTCGTGCGCACAGATCATTATGCGTTGAAATTCCTTCTTGACCAGCGCCTGTCCACCATCCCATAGCATCACTGGATCAGCAAACTAATCGGTTATGATTTCAGGGTTGAGTACCGACCAAGACGATTCAACGTCGCCGCCGATGCATTGTCTCGACGGGATGGCGACAAACCACTGTTGGCGGTGCTGCGCGGTCCGGAGACGACCGTGGCGACGCTCTTTGTGCCCACGTTCCAGCTGTTCGACGAGCTGCGACGTGAGTTTGAGGACGACGTCGAGCTGCGCGCGCGCCGGGACGCTGTGGCCACCGGCGACTACGACAACGACTGGTGGCTGTGCGTAGGGGCTCGTGCTCCACAAGGGGCGCATCTTCGTGCCGACCTCCTCGTCGGTGCTTGACGACGTGCTCCAGCTGGCGCACACGGGCGCGCACGAAGGGATCCAGAAGACATTGCAGCGCCTCCGCACCGAGTTCTTCGTCGAACATGATCACCGCGTCGTCCGTGATTTTGTGCGGGCGTGCTCCACATGCCAGCGCAACAAGACGGAGACTCTACACCCAGCCGGTCTACTGCAGCCGTTGCCCGTGCCTCTCGTGTGTGGGCGGACATTGCGATGGACTTCGTCGAGGCCCTTCCTAAGGTCCATGGCAAGAGTGTCATCCTCACCGTCGTCGACAGGTTCTCCAAGTACGCCCACTTCATTCCGTTGGGGCACCCTTACACGGCTGCGTCGGTTGCTCGTGCCTTCTTCCACGACATCGTGCGCCTTCATGGTTTTCCGGACTCCATTGTCAGTGATCGCGATCCCGTTTTTACCGGCCATGTGTGGCGTGACCTCTTCCGGCAGGCCGGTGTGCGGTTGAAGATGAGTACAGCCTTCCATCCTCAAACCGATGGACAGTCTGAGGCTGTTAACAAGACGATTGCCATGTACCTTCACTACCTCACCGGTGATCGTCCTTGCGATTGGCTTCCTTGGGCGGAGTTTTGTTACAACACCGCTTACCATTCGGCTCTTCGGACCTCGCCATTCACCGTGGTCTACGGCCGTGCGCCGCCGGAACTGCTGCCCTATGTGCCTGGTCGTGCCCAGACTGAGGCGGTCGATGAGCTTCTCGCCAACCGGGACGAGTTTCTGGAAGAAGTGCATTCCCGACTTCTTCAGGCGCAGGAGCATGCATGGCGTTCCTATGATGCTCGTCATCTTGCTCTGGAGTTTGCGGTGGGCGACTGGGTGCTCTTGCGCCTCCTTCATCGATCCACCCAGGCTTTGGAACCGGGCAGTCGTGGCAAGCTGGGTCCTAAATATGCGGGACCCTATCAGGTTGTGGAGCGTATTGGTGAAGTGGCGTATCGCCTCCAGTTGCCAGCAGGAGCACGGATTCATGACGTGTTTCATGTTGGTGTGTTGAAGCCATTCCGTGGTGCACCTCCATCAGCAATTCCAGCATTGCCTCCTATTCGTCATGGCCGTCCGCTTCTTCGCCCTGACCGTGTGCTCCGCTCCAGTCTCCGGCGCGGCGAGTGGCATGTGCTTGTCCAGTGGGCAGGATTGCCAGCTTCTGAGGCGACTTGGGAGTCGGTCACTGAGTTTCGCGCTTCTCATCCTGAGTTCCAGCTCGAGGACGAGCTGTTTCCGGAGGAGGGGAGAGATGTTATGGTCGGGGTCACATATGAGAGGAGGAACAAGCATCGTGGGTGAGCCAAACAGGTCCGGCTCCGGTCGTTACGTGCCAACGTTGCCAACTGGTCAGGTGGAGTCCCAGAAGAAGATTTGGTTTGTTAGCATTGTTAGGAGTCTTAGAGGGTTTGAGTTTGTTAGCAACTAGAGTCCTTATTTCCAGCGTCAAGTTGTTAGAGTCGATTGTATAAGAGTCCAACTCTTGGTTAATGGAAAGGTAGCCTGGGATTGAGACTTATAGTCTCCCTTGGGCGCCTGGCGCTCCCGTTTCCCTGTTCCCCGTTTTCCCTGTTGCCGCACGCGAACTCTAGAACACGGCGCCGTCTCGACGTTCACGAGCGCGCCCCCACGCTCCAACCTCCCCTCCCTACTTCCTCCGAAGCAAAGCACGACGTCGTAACAGAAACAAAGAAACAATTTTATCTTTGACCGAGGACGTCCCTCCCTTGTTTCTTGGAAGCAAAATTTTGTGGAGGAAGCTAGACTGCAGGCCCATAGACTTTGTGATTCAAAAAGAGCAACCTTTCTGTCCTCTTTAGGACTCCAAGGCTGACTCCCTCCTGCTGTTCTCTTCTTTCCCTCCCTTTCTGTACAGTTGTACAGCCTGTAGACTGTAGTCCTTTCCCTTTCTCCCTTTCTCTCTGTACAGTTTAGTTTATTTGAATTTATATACCAACAGTGGGGGCTTCCCCTGCTGTATTTATGGCTCAAAAAATATATTGCACTGACTGGTCAACTTTTTAAAAAATATTGCATTCATGGTGTAAAGAGTTTTTTTTAGTTGTTTTTATTGTTTTTACCTTGGTAAACGCTATCTATGTTGACAAATAAGGATGACATGTGAACGCATCATTACCTTGCAAAAGGAATAATTGCTGTCATGTAAGGATTTTTTTTGAGTGAAAACAGTAGGGGAAGCCCCTACGTGGTAAAAAAAATATTTATATAAGACAAGCAAAAGCAAAAAAGCAAACTGGTTTCTATTGAGCTATCACTTTGAACTCTGCTCAAAAGAAAGTACCCAATTTTCGTTCAGTTTTACTTTTTGCTGGTTCAGTGATTTGGACAAATATATTTGAACTGCAATTGCCTTGTGTCTTATTTGAAGGTCCGACTGGTGGATACAGAATGGTGTCAACCTCTGGAGATAGTAAAAGAAGACACTATTGTTATAGCGATGAGAAAGCAGGGTGATACTCAGAAATTTGTAAAAGCTGAGATACGTGGCTATGAAGAAGGTTCAAGGTTCTTGATTGTATTCCGTCTGGGGCCAGCATATGGACCAATCAGGTAGTATGAAATGGTAATGACAGCATCTGGATATTTGTTTCCTGTTTTTATGATTATGACCATTGTATGATTGTTTGTAGGATTGAGAACCGGACGAGTAGTACCACAATCAGTACTCGCCAGTCTGGTTTAGGGGAAGATAGTTGGATCCAAGTGAAGCCACTTGCAACCAGAAAATATTCTTGGGATGACCCATATGGACAGAAAGTTATTGATGTTAGCGTTGATAAAGGCGATGATACTTGTGTTCTAAGTGTTGACCTGGAAAACCCTATTGGAAGTTCCATCAGTTTTAGGGAACATGGCCTCATGTTTAGTATTGAGACCAGTGATATTAAGATATTGAAGTTTGCAGATTACCTAAGGAAAGAGGAAGTATATGGATTGCTTGGATCTGAACTGATTGATCACCAAGGACCGACATTGAAGGCAAATGAGACAGAGCCAGGTGCTGGACCCTTGGAGCTTATTGTTGAACTTGGAGTTGTTGGAATATCTTTGATTGATCATAAGCCGAGAGAGCTTTTATACTTGCATCTGCAGAAGGTTTTTGTTTCATACATGACTGGTTATGATTCTGGGACCACTAGCAGGTACAGTTTGCACTCAATGTATTTTTTCATCAACATCATGTCCAGACATGCGCTGGTCTAATTTTTTTCCCTTCCATATGCAAAAGAAATGCCTTCCATCATTGGGGGGAACTGGGAACTTTGAGATACACTTAGTTCTTCACCATGTTTTTTTGTGTCGTATAAGTTTATACTCATTTTTTGAAGCCACTCTTTTGCCCCAAGAAAGATCAGCTGCTTGGTTTTGCAAAGGACTGCTTTCCATTTATTGCTAACATCTTTGGCAAGTTAACTGATGGCATACCTACGAACATAGCATTACCTTTTCCTAATGATAGCACTGTGTTCTCTGCTTCACCTTTTATATATATATATATAAAACACTTTGCAGGTTTAAGTTAATTCTTGGCCAGTTGCAACTAGATAATCAGTTGCCACTGTCTACAATGCCTGTTGTTTTGGCTACCGAGAGCTGGCCTGACTCAAATCGTCCTGTTTTCAAAGCAAATGTTGCTGTTAGCAATGTAACTTCTAATGGCATTCAAGTTTACCCACATGTCTATATTCGGGTAATGTTGCTTTGTGTATTTCAACATGCAAGTCTATATAGTATCAACCCATACTTAAAATAAATGAAATCTGTGTTTTATATAGGTAACTGATCAAACATGGAGACTGAACATTCATGAACCTATTATTTGGGCACTGGTTGATTTCTACAACAGTCTTCGTTTTGTCACCACCAGCAACAGCACAACTGTAACGGAAGTGGATCCTGAGATACGAATAGAGTAAGCTTCAAATTTGCCTCGAAATTGTCAGAGCAACTGTTAGACTTTCCTACTTTTTGAGACGTGTCTTTTTGCATCTGAAATTGTTGTGTCGTGTTTCCAATTTGATGCATTCTGTCATTCATCAGTAACTAGGGCTAAGATTAGCACTACAGAGATGAGAGATGGGCAGGTGTTTCCATGCAACTAGTTTGTGCATTCATTTTGCTTTTACAAATTGTAGCCAGTACATTGCAGAAGTACAATGAGAACACGTTGCTGAGTGCTGACAATGTGTTTTTTTCAATGTTGTGAAATTTTTTATTAAATTCGTGCGATTATTTTTGCATAATCATCGATATATACTGCCTATGTGTCTAGATGTAACTTAGCTGGAATACGACACAACATATTTCACAAAATATTTGTATAATTTGCAGGCTCATTGATATTTCAGAGATAAGGCTGAAAATATCTCTGGAAACTGCGCCTAATCAAAGACCTCGTGGTGTCCTAGGCATATGGAGCCCCGTCCTGTCTGCTGTGGGTAATGCATTCAAGATTCAGGTAACTTTATTCCAAAATCAGGTTATGTCCGGAACGTCATGTTTCATGGCCGGTACCAGACTAACCCAGTTAAATTTGGTCAGATTTATTCCATTTTCATCAGAATCCGAGAAATTTGATTTAACTCTGAACCTGTCAAATTATGCTAAAATATGTTGCTTTATCCCAAACCCTCTACCCCTGGCTAAGTTCAGAATTGTATGTACTTCTGCTGGGTAGAATAGGTTCATTGTTGCCTTCTGTATCCTTGTTTGTTTTATGTTAGTGTGTGTGGATCCTGAGGAGTGCTACTAGAGCCACCTAACCATCTCATCTCATCTAGGGGCCCGTTCGCCATGTGCAGGATTCTAAGAGAACATGTCTGCATGTATTCACAGTCATTCTATCAATCAACATACTCATGGCTAATAACCAACATTAATATTCATTCAACATTCAACTTTGACAACTCAATAATTATTGAATAGTTCATTACCTCATTTATTAAATACAAAACACAATAGTGTATTATAGTCATCTAGAATAAAGAATACCTTAGGAAGGATAAGTGGTGGTAAAAAATTTCTCGGCTAAGCCAAATAGCGGTGTTTAGCAGAGCTAAAGCATCCTTAGCTTCAATAGCTGAACAATTGATAGTATCGTAGTGGCATATGCCCACTAAAAAGCTATAGTGGGCTATGTTAGTTTTTGTTGGACCTAAAGAAGTCACGCTGGTGCTAATAACAGAGGTAATTCTGCATTGTTCGAAGTGCCTAATGAAAAAAGGGGCAAACCCAGTGCCGGAGGCTCCCATATGAGTGGGGTCTGGGGAAGGGAAAAACCGAGGCAAGCCTTCCCCCCGCAAAATCTGCGGAGAGGCTGCTTCAAACCCGCGACCTGGTGACTCAGTGAGATAGTTGCTAAATGGGAATAAGTTTATTCTTTCCTTGCCTGTCTTGCTGAAATTTGAATTCTCAGAAGTTACCATCATTTATTTCATATTGCAATAAAAACTCTTGGGTAGCTTTATTCCCTGATTTTTTTTTTGATAGGAGATATATACTTAGATTAGAAGGGCGGGCCTGGTGCAAGCGGTAGAGTCTTACCGCCTGTGACCGGAAGGTCCCGGGTTCGAGTCGCGGTCTCCTCGCATTGCACAGGCGAGGGTAAGGCTTGCCACTAACACCCTTTCCCCAGACCCCGCACAGAGCGGGAGCTCTCTGCACTGGGTACGCCCTAGATATATACTCAGATTCATGAACTGTAGTTTGTAGTTTCATCCCTGATGTTTTGTCTTAGGTGCATCTGCGGAAGGTCATGCACAGAAGCCGGTTTATGCGGAAGAGCTCCATCATCCCTGCTATCATGAACCGAATCAAGAGAGATCTGATTCACAATCCACTGCATCTAATCTTCTCTGTGGATTTTCTTGGAGTGACAAAATCAACTTTATCATCACTTAGTAAAGGATTTGCAGAGCTCTCTACTGATGGCCAATTTCTTCAGCTGAGATCAAAGCAGGTGCAATAGCTTGTGGTTCTTTTTGTCCCTTGTTTATGTTCACTTCTTTAAACACTTAAATGGAATATGATTCAGGTTTGGTCAAGGAGAATCACTGGTGTTGGTGATGGGTTAGTTCAAGGGACTGAAGCATTTGCTCAGGGTTTGGCTTTTGGGGTTTCTGGTGTTTTAAGAAAGCCAGTTGAGAGTGCCAGACAGTATGGTGTTATAGGCATTGCACCTGGTATTGGTCGTGCTTTTGTCGGTTTCATTGTACAACCTTTAAGTGGGGCTCTGGATTTTTTTTCACTGACGGTTGATGGAATCAGTGCGAGTTTGATGAGATGTGTCAACATTTTAAGTAACAAATCTATTCCACAGAGGATAAGAGATCCTCGTACTATCCATCGAGATGGTATACTAAGAGACTATGACAAAGTTGAAGCTGCTGGACAGGTACATGTACATTGCTTGTTTTCATATTGTTTGTTTCTTTTCCTTTTTGCTTTTTTATGGAAAAATGACTGTACAAATAGATTCATGATTCCTGGAAGGCAGGTCTCCAGTCTAATCTCTATTAAGAAACTCAAAACAAAAGTAGTAGTATATTGTGAGAAGAGTAAGTTAAATCTAGTGGATGAGATGAAGCATCCTTGTGAAATTTCATACATGTCAGGAGTTGTTAGGTTCATCACAGTCAAGCCAACATATCATCCTTAAGCACTAGCCAACATCAACAAGCATGAGACTCACTCCACTAGATTTACTAACAAATCCTATCTTTCAGTCGAAGTTTCCATACACACATCTGTATTACGTAGATCACGTGAATGCTTGCACACAGATAAAAGTTGTGGCATTTAATTAAGAACCCAGTAGCAAATAATTTGGTCACTTGTTCTACTTGTTGGTTTTTGAGCCCATAGGAAACATGGCCACTATTACGGAACGGAGGGAGTAGCACATAGTTGTACTGGACGCTGAAACTTCTGTTTTTTTTTCTCGAAAACACAGGAGAGCTGTGCTTCATTATATTAAGAAGAAATAGGGGGTAAAGAACCCTTAGTACAACACACACCCACACACCCTTATCTTTATCTCATAAGATACATTTGTGCCGGTAAAGAAAGAAAAGGCGACCCTGCACCTACAACAAATCAACTAACAGCTTGGGCGGGGGCAGTCAAGTGAGATAGCCCACGAGCCCCTGCCATTGTCCACCGTCGACGCTCATCACCGGCCAACTTCAAGGTTTCAGCTATGTTAGGAGTTGCTCCATCAAAGACGCAGCTATTGCGATGATTCCAAATTATCCATGCTCCCAGAACTATTAGGGAGTTCAAACCTTTTTACGTTAAACCAGAAGTTGCTGCACTTGCTTTTTCCCACCAATCATCGAATGAAGTGTCAGATGGCTGTGGAGCTAGAGAGTGGAGACCGGCCTGTCTCAAGATATAGTACCAAAATTGCCTTGAAAATACACATTCGATTAGGAGATGATCAATGCTTTCGTCGGCTTGATCACAAAGTGGACACTTCTCAGGATGAGGCAGTCCTCGTCGTGCAAGACGATCTGAGGTCCAACAGCGCTTATGCGCTACAAGCCATAGGAAGAAGTGGCATTTAGCTGGCGCCCAAGTTTTCCAAATTCTTTCTCATGGCCTGAAAAGGATTCTCCCCATGAATAAGCTATCATATGCGGATTTGGCAGAGTACTGTCCACTATTTGATAATTTCCAAGTGTGAGAGTCCTCCACCTCAGGTTGTAACTCAAAATCATAGAGGAGGTCCCAAAGCTGAAATTACTCCACGATGACCCCCACTGTGAGAGCACCTTGGATGTCCGAGACCCAAGTCCGGTTGGTTAGAGCCTGCTGCACAGTACACAATTTTCTCTTTCTCTGCGGAATCACAGCAAAGAGTCGAGGCGCGAGATCCTTAATGCAATGTCCATGAAGCCACCTATCAGTCCAGAACAAAGTATTCTCGCCATTGCCAACATCTGAGATAATTGCCATTGAACAAAGCTTCTGAACCTGAACAGGAACCTGTATAGACAGTGCAGACCAAGGGCGATGTGGCTCTTTTTTCTGTAACCAGAGCCATCTTGCGCGTAACGCCCAGCCAAGATTTCTGAGATTGGAAATGCCCAAACCACCTAGTTCAGTTGGAGAGCAAGCTGTCTCCCATGCCACGAGACAATGCCCTCCACGTGCTTCCTTTCGCCCTCTCCACAGATAGCTTCTTCGAATTTTGTCAATCGCTTTAATGGCCCATTGAGGCAAATCAATGGCCATCACAAGATAAATGAGCATCGCAGTAAGAACAAACTGCACATAGATTTGCCTCCCAGCTCGTGTCAACAAGTCTGCTTTCCATCCCGGTAGTTGATCAGCTATTCGGTCAATGATGACCTGAACATGCTCTTTTGTTAATCTTCGCAATGAGAGGGGTAAACCCAGATATTTGCATGGAAAATCAGATAATGCACAAGGGAGTTGCTGCTGCACAACCTCAATCTCTTGTTCATCACATCTGATAAGTACGTTACTTTTTTGTAGATTAGTCTTGAGCCCAGATGCTGTACCAAACAGCTGAAGGATGTCCATAGTGACAGCAATATCAGCGGCATTTGGATGAAGAAATAAAACCACATCATCCGCATGCGTTGAGATGCGATGTTGCAAAGCACGTCTTGACAATGGTTGCAGCAAGCCTAGCTCAGCGGCTTTTGAAATCATATGCCCCAGCACATCCATGACCAAAATGAATAACATTGGAGATAGGGGGTCACCTCGTCTCAATCCTCGCCGATGGGTTATTCGCTCACCGGGGATCCCATTCAAAAGCACTTGAGTAGAGGAAGAGCATAGCAGTCCACTGATGATATCCCTCCATATTTGTCCGAAACCCAAGTGTTGCATGACCTCAAGTAAGAAGGGCCAAGCAACCGAATCAAAAGCCTTTGAAATGTCAAGTTTCAGCAAAATATGGGGCTGTTTTTGTTGATGCAGAAATCGCGCCGTCTGCTGCACTAACATGAAATTATCTTGTATGAAGCGCCCTTTGATGAAGGCACTTTGATTAGGAGATACCATGTGGTTTAACTGACCTGCCAATCGATTAGCCAATAATTTGGTTGAGCTTGGCAAAGCTGTGTACTAGGCTTATTGGCCTAAAATCCTTGGGCTGTTCAGCATCTTCTTTTTTCGGAATCAGCGTGATATATGCAGTGTTAAGAGGGCCGAGACCCCTCAGCTTTCTACTCCAAACAGCATAGATAGCCACCATAATGTCATTTTTTATTATCGGCCAGCAAGCTTTGTAGAAACGCCCTGTGAACCCATCTGGACCCGGTGCTTTATCCGAGGGTAGTTGCTTGATTGTCAACCACACTTCTTCCTCCGTGAAAGGTGAATCAAGATCAGCAAGGTTATGTTTATGTGTAGGAATCCCCAACTCAATCAGATTAATGGTATGTTCTCTAGGTTCACTTGTCCCAAGCAATTTATCATAGAAATCATCCACAACTCGTGCCTTGTCCTCATGTGCTGTATAGATATGATTTTCTGAGATAAGCCTGCCAATAAGGTTCTTCCGCTTGCGATGACGCGAATGTAAATGAAAGAGCCTCGTATTGGCGTCTCCATCACGTAACCACCCAATGCAAGAGCGCGACCGGGCGATTGTCCACTTGAGAGAGGCCAGGGCAAGAGTATGCTTCTTGAGGTTATTTTTGAGCCATACTTCTTGTGGTGAAAGAGCACGTCGGTCATTGGCAATTTCGAGCTGATGTAGAACTTCTCGCGCTATGTTCAGTGGACTGGGAGGATATATTTCCTTGCTGTTTGCTGCAAAGCATGGCCTCTGATGACTCAGATCACTGCCCTCTCTTGAAACTTCTGTTAACATGCCTTCAAAAATATGCTAAAGACTTGAAACGATCAAATTATAGTTTATGGTTGCTACATGAGCAATTGTAATCATATAATACATAGTTATGTACTACAGATTCAATCCAGCTTTGTTTTAATTAGACAAAAGGTTCACCTTTGCTAGATTGATCAAACAAAGGCTCTGTTTCCAGAGAAAAATAATAATTAGGAGATAGTTGTCACGTTAGTATAGTTCTAGTCAGATTTTTGGCATGATGTACACTAATTTGATTACTCTGTTCTCCAGATGGCCCTTTACCTGGCAGAAGCAAGCAGATATTTTGCATGCACAGATTTATTTCGGGAACCTTCTAAGTACGCATGGTCTGATTACTATGAAGACCATTTTATTTTACCAAACCAGAGGATTGCTTTAGTAACTAATAAGCGGGTGATGCTGCTTCAGGTAAGGCTTATTCCTTTCTGATCGTATTATCGCGTTACTTCAAAAGTTTGATTAGAACTGATGTTCTTCATTTGTAGTGCCCGGATCTAGATAAAATGGACAAGAAACCTTCCAAAATACTTTGGGATGTTCCTTGGGAAGAAGTACTTGCATTGGAGCTAGCAAAAGCTGGGTATCAGAGGCCTTCACATGTAATCATACATCTGAAGAATTTTAGGAGGTCAGAGAACTTTGTAAGGCTTATTAAGTGCAACATTGACGACGAACGACAACCACAGGCTCTTTCACTTTGCTCTTCAATTCGGAAAATGTGGAGATCTCACCAGGCAGCAATGAAAGTTATACCGTTGAAGGTAATCTCTCTTGTTCTCCTGAATTAAGCTATCATCTCGTTTTTTTTTGTAACCAACTCTCCTGAACTGAACTGGTACTTCTGAACAAAACCATAATAGGTTCCATCAGGCCAGCACCATGTGTATTTTGCGTCAGATGATGATAATAGGGAATCCCACAGTCTATCTAGGCCTTTGCTAAGCTCGAGAGGAACTTCTACTGATGTTGAGCAACAACTCATAAACAATACAGTTAACTTCCAGAAAATGTGGAGCAGTGAACCAGAAATTTGGAGCCGATGTAAACTAGTTGCCAAGCAGGTAAGTCAGCAGAATCTGAGTGGCTAAAAAAGAAAGTATTTCAGATGTGTGATGTAAAACTATTGTTGGTGTTTATTTTAGATTGCGGACGACGGAAGGGTGTTTAGCATATGGAGGCCTATGTGCCCTAATGGGTATGAATTTTGACACGGTATAACCCACTAATGTAACTGCTTACATACCGAAGGTACTGAGCCAATTATTTCAGGTATGTCTCAATTGGTGATGTTGCTCATGTTGGCACCCATCCGCCACATTTTGCTTCTGTATACAAGAACATCAATGGGAACTTTGCACTGCCCCTTGGCTATGACCTGGTCAGTTTTCAATGAGATTTTGTGTCATATATGCTTGGCCAGTATTGAGCATATTATACTGAAATAATATAATCCTTCTGTTACTTTTATCATGCATAAATAGCAGCTGTTTTTTTTTTATTTTGGAACAGTGTATGAGGGGAGAAGTCCTGTTGATAGATTTTGCTTTCATGATTGCCTTGCCTGCAGGTTTGGAGAAACTGTGCTGAGGATTACAGGAACCCTGTATCAATATGGCTTCCAAGGCCACCGGGGGGATACGTAGCTCTTGGGTGTGTTGCTGCCCCTTCATTCGAGGAGCCCCCTCTTGACTGTGTTTTCTGTGTGGATGAGAGACTCACGGAGGATGCCGAGTATGAGGAGCAAATCATATGGGCGTCATCTGATGCTTACCCATGGGGATGCTATATCTACCAAATTCAGAGCGCCTCACTGCAGTTCATGGCACTTCGTGTCCCAAAAGAAAAATCTGAGCTAAGGCCCAAGAAGATGTTGGAGTCATCATTTGTGCAGCGAGCATCAGAGACTCCATGTCAAGACAAGCAAACGTGCCGTGCATGAAGAAGGCGTACATAATACATATACGTGCGTGCAAGAAAACTCGGCTTGGACAAAGGACTGACAGTCTCGTGCAAGAAAGCTCGAAGAAAGCCCCTGCTTTCGGACCACTGCATTTCTCCGTGGTCAAAGCATACACAGAACCTTGCATTCCAACACTTTGGTTGGCAGCAAGTGTTGTAAACTAGAGTACGTAGTAGGTTAAAGGCTGTAAATGTACAATATTGTAATCGTTTGATATAGTTTTTGTCCAGCATTACATGATAGTAAAAATGTGCGGATGGATAATAATTATTACGCATTGTGATTTGTTCTATGTTTTGTTGGTTTATGTGTTGGCAGCTGTGCCTTGTGCGATTGTGCGAGACCGCAGAGAGAATGGTAGAGCTGCCTTCAGGTTGGCAGGTTCCACACGTCTGTACTTTTCAGCTTGTTTTTTCAGCTGAAATAATATTTTTCTTTACAACAAATCAGCTAGAATAGTGTTTCGAGTTTTTTTTTACAAAGCAAATGGGGCCATAAGGGCACCTCTAATAGCACAATCCACAAGTCAGATAAAGATTTAAAAATGATACTCCATCCGTTCTAAATTATAAATTATTTTAACTTATTAGATTTAATCGATACTCTCTCTGCTTTAAATTATAAATCCTTTTAACTTATTTTGGTACATTATTTTTGTTATATATCTAGAAATAATGTATAGATATATTGTAAATTCTATGTATCAAAAAAATCAAAACGACTTATAATTTAGAAGGCAGAAAGTATTTCATCCTATGTGTTCTACTAACGTGTTATTTATTCATATATTCTCTCCCCTGTCAACATAGAGAGCTGTATCTAAGCTTTTCTCTTACCGCTGGCTCGAAGATTGTTACCCCGTTTTCTTACCCGGCATCTAATTTTGTCCCTACAGTAACATTAAATCCCTTGCAAATCATTGGTTGTCTAAAAGTTTTTTTTTTGTAACAGGTTGCCGGCAGAAGTATCTGCACATCCTGGAAGAGGAAGCAAACAAACGATCTGCTACTACGTGCACCCTCACTGTCGCGCGCACCGTCACCAATCCAGGTCGAGCTCCCGGTGGAGAAAGATTTTTTAACAGGAACTTGCTTGAGATAAGCACGCGGCACGTACGGCACCTGAATGACGTGCCACAGCATCACGTAAGGCGATCCCGTCCCGTGCCTCCAACGTTTCGGATGAGCTCAGGCGATGGATCGTCCGTCTGTCATCTCGCATGCATGCACGCAGGAACGTCGAACGCACCTCTGAAGCGCAGATCCGGCACGCAACGCCGCTGTGTGGACCGACGGGGACGGCCGGTGGTTGTGGTCCACGGCGAGGCGGACACCGGAGGGAGAAACAAGACCGTGACGCGGACACGGTCCGGTGGGGACGTGAAAGCAGACCGCTGCTCGTGTCTCAATTCTCGTCGAGCGAGGGAAATATCAGGTACGGGAGAGATATTTCAGTAGAAGCGCAAACCAGCGCAACTCAAACTCAGTCAGTAAGGAAACAATTTTGACTGAAATTGTCAGCTTACCCACAGTTCAAAATGCCCATGTATTTTTTTTTAGTGGAGGGAGTTAGTTTCCTTTGTTCCAAGAGGAAAAAGCTGGAGGTGCCGGCAACTTGTCAAAGGGCCATGACCAAGCAGCATGCCAGTGGTGGCGTCAGCATGAAGCAGCCAAGCACTTCGAACCATGGCCAAGCTTCTCAAAAAAAAGTCGCATGTTTCAGATGAAGCGGACGCAACAGAGGAGACAAGGGAAATAGTCGGTGTGTGGAACCACAGCCACAAGCGCGCCCCAAAAGGTCACCGTCGCCGGTGGCCCGCGGGCCAAACCTGGCAACGTGAAAAGCGCAAAAGAAACCCAAACCACCGAAAGCAGCGGGTCGGTCCCGCGCACCCGTGGCGGTCCGGGGAACATGGGGTGGAGATGGCGCGGCGACGGGGCCGCGCGGATAAGGCCGCCATGCGTTTGCTCCTGGTGCCCGCGCCTGGCCGCGTCACCACCAGCTCATTGCCTACGCAGCAGCACCAGGACCAGGTACGACGTACGCCCGCCTCGGGATCCGGCTTGCCAGTCACCAAACTGCTCCAGTGCCTGCCAGTACTCCCTCGTGCTCTAGGCCTGTCGATTGTCGCGTGACCATAGTCCGTGTAGGATTTGTCGGTTGTTGGTTTGTTCATGGTCATGTTGAACGTTAACAACCATTTCTGCTTCTGCAGTAGTATAGCTTACTTCAATTATCTACTCTTTTTCTATTGATCAGTTGATCACGTTGACCGGTGCCAGACTGTCAGGATACTATACGAATTTGGGTGGATTACGACTGGATTTAACACGAGTGTGTGAGGTTTAACACGAACGTGGCAATAATTTAGAACATATTACAATCGGACGAGCGATGTGCTCTCGCCTATCCTTCGGACGCAGCCGGCCGTCCTGTTCTATTCCTTTTGTGATCCCTTAATTTTTTACAATTTGATCTTTTTTGAAGAAAATTTACGTTTAGCCCCCTGGGAGACAAACTCATCTTTGGACCCTGAGAGTCAGCGCCAGGACTCATGGCGCCGAGATAACACGTCTCGGCGCCACAGATCTTGGCTCCGAGATGCCTGACCGAGCACAGCAGGGCATCCTAGGTGACGTTCACGTGGCCGGTACCTCGGTGCCAGAATACATGGCGCCGAGCTCGGCGCCACAGATCTTGGTGCCGACCTCGACGCCATGTATTCTGCTACTACTAGTGTTTAAGCAAAATAAGATCGCTGCTACTTCAGATCTGTTTTCAGAAAAAAAACATGCAGTAATTATGAACCTCACAGCGATCTCAGCTCTAGTCGACAGATACCATAATTATGAACAGATTCACTTCCATTTATATTTTCGGTTCTCGATGTGCATATAACCGTAGTACTTCTTTCTTGTTTTGTAGATGGAGGCCAGAGACGCATAGCTTCCACCTACCTTGCGGTGAGATGACCGTCACTCTTCAGGACACGCAGAAGTTCCTGAGTGTCCGTATAAGTGGCCGCCCAGTTATCGGCTACTGCACTGCTGTTGGTTGGAGAGGTGGAGTGGAGGTCTTCCTTGGAAGAGAGCTTCCTCCAGAGACACCGGGTGCCCACTCCTCTAGAGTACTCATTAGTTGACTGAGGCAGAACTTTGGTCAGTGTCCTGATCATGCAGATGAGCAGACAGTTACCTACTACTGCAGGGCATGGATCATGCACCTTTTTGGTTGTGTTCTGTTCCCCGACGGGATGGGAGACACCGCGTCATGGATATACCTGCCGTGTCTTACTGACTGGCACATGGCGGGGGGCTATAGCTGGGGTTCCGCAGTGCTGGGGTACTTGTACCGGTAACTTTGCGAGGCATGCCGCTGGAGTTCACCGAACTCTTCATTAGGAGGATGTGTTTACCTGCTTCAGCTTTAGATGTGGTCTCGTCTACCGGTCGGTCGGCCCAACGTTAGTGATCCTCGTCCCTGGTTCGAGGTGCATGGCCTTCGACATCGGCCGACGTATACCTACCTTTGGGACCAGGTTAAGGGTCCCTTCGCCCGGAGTAAACGCGCCTACATCGAGTTCGCGAACAAGCTCGACGCACTCACGCCAGGGCTGGTGAGTTAGCTGCATCTCATACTAATTTGTTTTTCCAATGTAAGCACTACTTGACTAAAGAGTCAAATGCAGGTTAGTTAATTGGGAGCCGTACGACGATGAACAGTACGAGCACATTGGGTTCAGCATCATGTGCAAGATGGACGAAGACCTGTACCTGATGCGGTGCCCGTTGATCTGTTTCTACGTGGTTGAGTTCCACCTGCCACACCGGGTTGCACGCCAATTTGGGTTGAGGTAGAAGTGGCCCGTGGAGCCGTTCTCAACGTCAATAGACTTGCATAAGTAAGCGTCTTTGAACTATTGTATACTTTATTGAATATTATTGAATATTTGAAACAAACAGTGGAAGAAAAATGAAAAGACAGTTCTAATACCATCTATGCATTTTGTAGAAATTCTGAACTGATAGCTAATTTATTTAATTATTGTACACAACTTAATAGAGTGCTAACTGTTGAGGATAGTATGCATAGGACGTCTTCCAATTTGCTCACAGAACACCACCAAAATGCTCACTGTACCAAAAAAAGCTTTCCCCACCTATTACTTGATTAAAAAAATAAAAAAACTTAAAGTTTGTGCCGACTAATATGTGAAGCTCTGTAGATTGCAATTTCATTTCTGTCACCCTACATGATCGATCGTGGACGGACTTTGAGACCTTGCACCGTGACTACATTGACCACTGGGATCACTTTCATGAGAACTTATATGAGAATGACCCCACATGAACGAGAACTTCAGAGCGTACCTATCTTGGTACAGACGGGCAACAAGGACTAAGCTGAAGGTACAATGGGATCAAACAGACTATGCCGACATCGAGTCCTCCGACGATGAACAAACGTCTTACGACCTTGCGACGAGGGCCGGGACACAGGTGGAGCCTACGCCAATCCTGTACCGAGTGGTAATGTCAACTATAACCCCATCATTTAAATACCATTTATAGACTTGTGAATTGTGGAATGAGAAGTGTATATAGGTTCAACAAGAAGGCAAACTTTATGATATGCCACATAGTGTTGTAATGAAGGCCAAATTGTATATTGTTGTATTGAAAGATTATGAAAACAATCTAGTTCAAGCAAAAGATAACAATGCAAATGGAATCAATGAAATGGTTTTTGTGTTGTGGGATATCATAGCATCATGTGAAAGCAAGCATATTTGGTGTGGCAGAACCGCCTAATCTAATACCTCACAGGAGTGCTTATCTTCCATTAGACACTAAGCACCCAAGGGAAAACACTAAATTACTCGGTTCCGTCGGGCACACCCCAGGGGAGGACCCGAAAATCCACATTTTTGCCCTCAGGATAACAAATGAGAGAATAAAGCTTACATCATTCTTAACCAT